ATGAGTTTTAGATGGAACTTTTTCTCGTGCTTTTAATTTCCCCCGCCCGTTTTTCCTAGAGTGCCAGGCTGGCGGATTAATGTTTCGGTGAAAGAGGAAGATATTCTTCTTTTTTTACGAAACTCCTTTCGTGTGAATTTTTGCTTATCGCTGTTCACTGACTTGGTGCATGCAAACGTCAATAGCACACGGATTTGAGAGTGATCCTCGGAAAGGCGAACGTTCAAAATGGGAGAATTTTCCGTTTAGGGATTTTGGCACTCGACTTGTTTTGAGACGTTGTATCGATAGGCGGACGAGAGCAAACGGTTCAATTTCTTTGCGATTCGCTGGTCGTTCGCGAAAACTCAATTCTGTTGTTAAACAATTGCAGCGGTACGCCCGCGACGCCGCAATCAGTCGTCGGTTTTCCCTCGTGCCATTTGTGAGCTTAGGGAACAGGACGGTCCACCCCGCGAAAGCAGCTGTAAAGGCTTGTTTCTTGCAGGTCGACTGTCCGCAGCGGACATGCCAACACCGTCGAGCATAACAGCCACGTCGCAACTAACCAGCGGCCTGCTGAGCAGCGCGAGCATCTTGGCGAACTCGTCGCTGCCGGGCAGCATAAGCTCCGGCAGCTCGTCGCTGCTGTCGTCGCCGACCAAATTGCCGATCGGCAACATGGGCAGTCTGCAGCGGAACTCGAGCTGCAGCGTCGCCGAGCGCGGCGTGCCCGAGGGCGCAGCGAGCGCGCCGAGCCACGACTACGTCTCGGCGGCCAACGCCGGACTGCTGGCCACGACGACGCAGAGCGCGGCCAGCATCGCCGCGTCCTTCGTCGCCAACGACAACGGCACCGGCAACATCGTGGACGCGCAGAACCCCGTCTACTACGCGATGAACGTCTGAGAGGAATTTTACGCGCTGCACGGCGACAGGGAATTGATCAAGTGCGATCTCATGTAATGGCAGAGCCGTGTCACGACTCCACCGGGAGAATCTGATTTCGTTTCTTTCTCCCTTGGAGTATGCGCAGATTTTTTTGGCTGTACTTACGATCTTTTTTTTTTGTTTTTTTTTTTTTTTTTTTTATTTTTTTTGACATTATCCAGAAGTTACGTGACGTAAGAGGCTGCAACTTTTGCTCCAACTTTTGATTTGAAATATAATTGCTGATCACATAGATGTTTTTGTAATTTTATATGAGTGTCGGATGACTTTTCTACGATCCTTTGGATTTTTAGTCAATCTTTTCCACTTCGCCCGATGACATCTCTCTTAAGTTGCTTTCGTTTGTCATTGTGAGCGATGGAACGCTGAAAAAAATAAGCAAATAATCTCGCAGTATTAAAACAAGTAGTATTTGATAATTGTTTAAGACGCAAAAGAAGAAAAAAACAGATGCTTTGATGAAAAAAAAAAACAAAACAATAAATACGAGCAACTACACGCCAAAGATACACCGGAGAGTAGATGCGATACACATTTAGTTTTAAAAAAAAACCGCAAAATGAAAAAAAATAACGTAGACCACGCGCGAAAACATTGTAAACGTGTTGTGTACAAACAACATTCATAGTATCCGGTCGTAATTTATCGCCAAAAAAATTATCCATAGAAGCTAATAAGTGAACGGTGATTTGTATACACGAAGCGACGAAGATGTAAAGCTCTTCGGTCCTTGACGACCAAATGGATGAAAAAATAACTAATGTTAGTAAAAATGTCCCTGTTACGTAACGCAATTGTCGTAGAAAAACAAAGATTTCTTTTCACTCCCTCTTTTTCTCTGGGGAGTAATCATAACATATTCTATTTATCTAGTGGAGTATATATATATAATTGTATGATAATTCACACATGAGGAAGTCTATCGTACGTTTTCCGTTGTAACTTTTTAGCGAGTATAGAGTGATATATTTGTTAAACCAAGTCGACAAAAGTGAGCCATTTTTCCATAAATTAAGATATTTACTTTTCGATAATTTGAGAGGCATTTAGGAGCTGCATATGCATTGATAGACAAGTGTTTTTATTGTTGAATTTCTCAGAAATTTATTGCCTAAGCAACGTGCTGTCGAAAAACAAAGTATTTTTTCATTTCGCAATTCGGAGCGTCAGGGTTTCTATAATCTTTGAATTTCATTCAAAAATTTTATCAGAAACAATACTTATCTATCAATATATAATAAAATTGAAAGTTGATAGTGAAAGCGAAGATTGTTGTGAGATAGGTAAGGAACTAGTAATCGATTGATTGTTTGCAGAAGAGGACACGACGGTCGAAATATCAACCAAAGTTTGGTGTGTTAGTATTAAACTCCTGTTGTGATATTATTTCGAGCCGTTTAACATAGATATCTTTTTTATGTTTATGTTTTTTCTTCCGTTTCATAACGCAAATTGTACATATTTATTGCTGTAAAATGAAATAACGACAGTCTCATTTTCAAATGTATTGCGTTCAGCGTATCTAAGTAACAAAGTTATATGAATACTAATTAATAAATTCGTCGATGAAATGATTGTTGTTCAAATTATATATGGATTATATAGTAGTTTATGTATAATTTATCGCGAGATAACTCATATACGCGTAGTTGACTCAACGTTTTTTGCTAATATAAATAATAATGACATTCGCCTTTGTAATAGCTGAACAGTTAGTTTTTTGTGATTTGGCTTTGATTCAAAAAATAAATCATGTAATCTAAGAAGAGACTATACTGTAACGGAGACATTGTATTTTTCCTTTTATTTATTAGTAAATTCTTTACTTTATTTTTATAACTTAGTGTAAATTAATTTGATTATCAATATCGTTGCGATGCCAAATACAATAATATTCCAAAAATTACAGATAAAGATATACATTTTTTTTTGAGCAGATTCTTTTTGTCAAAGTCAGTATAGTCTTTTCCGATATAGGTAAACATAAAATATAAGCGAACGTACGTATTTCATACGATATTAAGTTTACGTGCGTGTGAATACACAAAATGTCAAGTATATATGTACGTGACGAGCTATAAACGATAAAAAAAGTGCACTATCGCTTTTTTGCAACATAAAAGAAATATCGGAAATTGACTACTGTTGCACAAGGAAAATGTACTAAGAAATGATAGAAGGCACATTAACAGCGAAAAAAAGAAACTCACATAAAAAAACACAAACGACACGAAAGAAAAATAATGGGTAATCGAGATATGTAAAACTCGAGGACTTGAAACATTGAAGACTGCAATAATTAATTACAACTCTGGCCTATTATAAAATAAAGAGACGATATAGCGATATTGTAGGTATCATAAAACCGAACGAATAAAAAAAAAGAAAAAAAGAACATTCAAGTATTATTATACAGACACGTAACATATGTACATGAGTAGCGAGAGACAAAAAAAAATTAATTGCTAATATAAAGTAGCATCCGTTTTAAATGGATAAGCGAACGCAAAGATTTTGTCGACGTCAACTATGGATGTGCGAGAAAAGCGTGTGACAGTTTGTTTATTTTTTATTTGTACAACAAGGAAATATATTATACACGGTAATATTAACATTATTATTATTATGAAATATCGATGTAGAAAAATCGCGACCGTGAATTTTTGTGCGACATTATATATACATATTATATATCGGAGAATATGTGCAAATTTAAGGTGATTTATTTATTTGCACCCTTGTTATATTTAAGTTACCTTTTTTTTCTCTTTTTGATTAGTAAAATGACATTCCAAAGATTTTTCAAATGACTTTTTTCTGTTTAATTTCCTTTCTTTTTTAATGTACTATCTCCCATTCGAAAATCAAAACGAAAGAAAATGCAAGAAGAAACAAGTGTTACGTAAAAGTGCGAAATCTTTGAGCAACTGTCGTTTGATATGTAAGGCAAAGATTTCTAAGACAATATGATGTAACGCCAAACAAAAAGAAGGAAATCAACAATCTATTCAGTAGTTTTTTCATCGCATAAGTGGTAAAAAGAAATAGAAATATTAAACGTTTTACTACGCAAAGCTTTTTACGGAAGTTTTTCAAAAGGTAATTTTTTTTATCATCAGTTTTTAAATTTTCAATGCACAAACTATTTGTAATAAGCGATTGAATATACCACGAGTCGATATAATAGCAATTTGAGAGGCAATTTTTAGCTAATGTAAGTTTTCATGGAGCAACAAATTATACATAGAAATACCGTTTTTCCAAACAAGAAGAGAACCGATTTAGACGTGTTAACCAAAACTTTCAAGCAACAATAACAAAAAATATATCTCATAGGAAACATAAAAACACGCGCGCGTGTGCGCGGTAGGCCGTAATCATTGACACACACACACACACACAGAGTATTTGGGACCCCTCGTAGAGACCTTTTACAATTGCGCTTTCCCGGAATTTTTTCCTCTCGCAGGATTTTCTTGGAACCGAATACAGCTGAAAGTAAAAAGTAAAATCGGAGAAACATATGTTATTTTTCTAGCACTTTTCTATTTTGCAGCCTTTGCGCTTTTTCAATGAGAATTGAGTACAGCGAAACACAAATCATTTAAAATGTTAGTTTCCGCCGAAAATACAAAGGCTGATAATTTTAGCAACAATTTGTATAATTTAACAAATTTGAACGACTTTTATTTACACTATTGTTTTATGAAAGAGCAACAAAAATGAATATTTTGCGAAAGAATAAATATAATTTTTAGATCCCGAAACAAGCAGAAACTCCTCGACGTATAGGTACAAACGAGTATTAAAACTTAACGTGTAACTTTATAGCAGATAAGCGTGATATATTGACATAGTCCATAGAGTTAACAAAAACTATATATATACACTTCTATAAATCTTACGATATTAAGTATTGTTTCTCTTCTAAAGATAAGCTCGAAGAAATATGAGGAATGCAAAAATGTGTAATTCAACATTGTCCTTACATATGGGAGCTTGGTATTTTATATAAACATTTATTATGAAAAAAATAAGATTAGTGTGAATGAAACTTGTACTCCCTTCCTTATTCTGTTGAAGCAGTTGAGAATTCTTTGGTAATTTAAAAGTAGGGCCTAATTGTAAATAGTACAATAGCAAAAGTTAAGCAAATTTAATGGAGCATGGACACGTTAAACTACTTACAACCATTAAGCCGTAATTATGATGAATGTAATAAAAAAAATTGGACAAAAACGTCAAACATGAAACCCGCCGAATTTCCGATGTTACATAGGCACGATTGTAACTCATGCGTGGAAAGAGTAGAGAAAAATAAAAAACATACATTTTTCGCCAATGATTTCTGATTTATAAGTAAGATGCTGACATAACATCACGAATTGTAAGAACAAATTCGTGCTTTGTGATAAGCCTAGTTAAAAAAATTATAACCTAGTTTATGCAAGATATCACATATTATTTTAATAAAATAATTGCTAGATAATGATATTTAGAGATTTTTGAAATGAGACGAAATTTTGCTCGGAAGGAAAGAAAGAAGGTTGGTCTTCAATAAGATTAAAATTCATGCATTGAACCTTGATGAGAAAAGCTGATGCTGAAGTTAATACGTTATATTATCCGATTATCCGATGATTTAACGATAAAATACTTTAGATATTTTAGTCGTTGATGCAATGTTTTAACGTACACAACATACGCATTCCTGGATAGTACTGTAGATTTATCACATTGTGAAACGAATGCCAAGTATGTGAAGGAATTTCCGCTGACTAAAATGTATAGAAAGTTCTGTACTCAAGTGTTATAAATAGAGATGAAGCAAAAGAACAAGATTTCATGACTACTGTCTAGTCAATGAAAGAGTAGTAACAAATATTACTTATGTGTACTCGTCGAAATGTCAATGGAATTCGTAAGTCAATGGAAGATATCTGCGATTAACGTAAAATAATATTGAGGTATTTTTTCTTCTTTACGCTATCATAGGTGCGATACACTTTTTTTCCTTTCTCGATGAATTTCCTCCCGGTTGCAAGTCATAATCACTCGGAACAATCAAGCTGTAATAGGTGAGAGAAAACAAGCAAATAATGTGACAATTGTTGGAACTGTGAAATGGCCAAAACTGAGAGAAACTAAAACAGACTGTATATATATATATATAAATATCTATCCATCTCATCGTTGAATAAAATACCAATCATAATGTAAATAAAAAAATGCTTAAATAATATAACCAAAAGTGTCTATAATAATCAAACAAAACCTTGGATTTTGCTTTATTTTCGAAATCCTATATTAATAATTTTTATTTTAAAAAAAAAACGTAATCACAAAAACATCTATTTTAGTAAATTTGTTAATCCAATTCCATATCAGATTTACATGATTATTCGACTAATTGTATCTTAACTTGCAGTACTGTAAACAAAAGATGTTTTGTTCCAAAATAAAGAAAACAAAACATACAACCGTTCCATAGAAAAAATAAAGATTGAATATAAAGATTTCAGAGAAATCTCAATCTTTAAAATAGAGCACCACAATCGCTCTAATTGGCACTTAGAACATAAAATTATTTTGATTTTTTTTTGTTTGTAAATTGACATACTGTAATATAAGTGTATATCAAAAATTGATATATATATATATAATTGATCTGGACTAACATAGAAGACATTCTAAATCGCAATCATCAAGACATAAGTTCGAACATAGTTTCGAAAATATGTCGTTCAATGAACTATGTGGAAAATAATTTATAAATATAATTTCAAAAGAAAAAGATCTTAAACAAGTAAATATACAGTCGAGCAATTGTAAAAAAATTGTCTTGAAAATTTTATTACTCGCACAATAAGCGTCGTGTTGTGTTTATAGCTTGAGCGTTTTTCGCTTGGATGTATACAATAAAACGATAGATGGAATATATATACGTATATATATACGTATATATACATATATATATATGTATATTGTATTGCTGCAGTTCTTATTCCTTTGTTTTTTCTTATCTTTTTTGTCGAATCTTTATATACGCAATTACAATATATAATTGTATAATTCATTTTGTACAAGTATTTTTATACAAAAAATATAGAAATCGCCGCGGAACTGACGCGCAATGTGTTTACACACAGTTCCATGATATTAAAAACCGCATGCTTGATCCAGTGTAACTAGCTATTCATCATTTGTTTTTATTTCCTGGCTAATTAATTTATTAAAAAGTTTCTCATTAGTATTAGAATCTTAATTACTTTTTAAAAAATTGTCTTATATTTTTATTAAATACGCGAGAGACCGTTAAATTGGGGTTTGTTTTTGTGAAATATTGCTTGTCTCCCTTTGAAAAATGATAGATAAATCCGTTTATGCGATCCTGAAAAAAATAAAATCCTCATCAATATTAAATCGAATGTAATATGCACGTCAATATTTGTATGCAAACAGTTAAAGTCTGAACGTCATTGGATGATTAATGTCGCATTTGAATTGCAAATAAGCTGTATGGCAAAACAAAAGAAAGAAGAATGTGACAAGACTTACAATGCAGTGCTTTTAGGGCCAATTGTCGAAGTGTTTAGGCAACAATTCTTCTACAATACGGTACATCGTCTCCTCTTCACTTGTTCGGGAGGCTCGAGAGCCGCGAGTATCGCCTCATCAAATACATTTTTAAGTCCTTTCTGCAATTTAAAAATTATGCGTGCATTAAATACCGCGAACTACCGTCACATGTCACTCAAGATACTTTTAAATCCTAACCGACCTGCGTGAGTGCACTGCACTCGACATATTTGACAGCTTTCAGTTCTTTAGCCAACTTTTCTCCTTGCTCCCCCGTGATAGGCTTCTGTTTGTTTTTTGCAAGCTTTTCTATAGTCGCCGCATCGTCCCTCAAATCGATTTGCGTGCCGACTAATAGGAACGGGGTTTTTTGACAGTGATGCGTTATTTCTGGTACCCACTATATGACAGTTAATTAATTAGCTATGTAAATTAATCCAATCAATGGTCAAATCTTGATTAAAGTTGTAACATACCTTTTCTTTAACATTTTCAAAGGATGAAGGTGATACTACTGAAAAACAGACTAGAAATACATCTGTTTGAGGATAACTCAGAGGTCTGAGTCTGTCGTAATCTTCCTGACCTGTAATGACATACAAATACAAATAAATTAACTGGTTACAAAAAAGATTAGAAACAATGACTTTTAATACTTACCAGCTGTATCAAAAAGTCCAAGTGTATAAGGCTCACCACCAATCATAACCGTGACGGCATAATTGTCAAAGACTGTAGGTACATACTCAGAGGGGAATTTGTTTGTTGTGTATGATATGAGCAAACAAGTTTTACCCACAGCTCCGTCTCCGACAACTACACACTTTATTGTCTGCATGTTGAACTTATTAAGTTTATGTCACCTGTAAAACACAAAGAATAATGAGACAACCTATAGAGAAAAATATACGTATAAATGACAGCACTTGTAATGCATTCCATAAGGATATGTTCAGATAAAAAGAACTGCATCAATTTATTTTTTATCAGAATCAAATGTATCTAATGGCTGAAATGATTGATTATTGCAGACAGAATATATGAAAGAAGATAAATCTGAGCAAGGAAAAATGAACTTGTACAACTATAAATGTGCACAAGGGTACCCTCAGGAAATCACTCAATTGATAGGCACACTGACTAATGGCACTTAAAACTGTGCACTGGCAAACCAAAAAAAAGTAATTACAACAGCTTGCAACAAGTAATCTAATCACCAAAAACCAATACTGTCAATACGAACGTTGAAGATACGAAAACACAAGAGACAAGCGTGCATAAAAAAAAAACAATCTATCGAGTGAGGAACGGATTCCAGAGGACATTAGTCAGTCTCATGCACGGCGACGCACCAGGTACAAGAGCGAGAAAGATAAGGGGACAACGCACGTACACGAAAAATCCGTATAACGGCACAACTCTCGAGGAGAGTGAGAAAGGCGTGTGCACATATGCGGCTGGAACGCCACGCGAACTCCTCTTAGCTCTTCAAAACTTTCTTGCGGTTTACAGCGTTTACACGATGGATGTTTGGTTGTTAAGATCGCTTATAGGTGATCAACGATGAATTACCGGGTAGCCGAGGTATGCGTCGTCCGGGCGACTTTGGTGACTATGGGCGTCGACACAAACTCTCGCACAGCAGCCACTCACGCACCAATCTACACACTTGATTCCGCAGCAGTCACGGCAACGGCTGTCGCCACCGTGGATCTCGCGCAGATGGGAAAGTGCGTTGGTTGGATTTAATGATCGCTGGAGCGCTCTGGCGGACATTGCTGGAATTTGTCACCACATGTGACGAAAAAATGAACTTTTCAAAAATAAGGTTTTTCTTTTGTGTACGAAATCATTCTTTTATTCGTCGACAATGTAACAAATCTTTTATTTTTTTTAATTAACCATAGTTTTTACTGACTGCGTTATTTTTTATGTGCATATTGTTTTGCTTATTGCTTATAAATTTGTTTGATATTAGAACACTTTTTTTGTACTTAATTATTAGGCTAAAATCATACATCACAACTTATACAGTGTATCATAAAACTATATACATACATAGAAGCTTTTCATTAATTACTTTTAAGCGCATTTAAAAATGCTTTAGGGCATATTTTTTATATTGCATCTTTTGAAAATGTATAACAAATCACAGAAATGGTTTATATAGAAATAATAATTATATGTACATTATATTGTTAACGTTGTACTTTGGATTTGAGTTTTGGTGCATCATGCAGAGAGTGCACATCTAAAACCAAGATTTCCAGCAGATGTATCTGGAGTGTTTTGGCTTCTTGCTGCACATCTATATCTGTAGCAATAACTTTTATGGCATAGATAAGAGCCACCTTTCTTTACTTTATCAGAACCAGTTGGAGCTCCAGTCTGTAATAATCAATATACATCAATTATAAATAAGCAATGTTACATCGAATGAATGAAATGTAACAATTACAGGATTAGTTTGTTTTTCGTCAGGATGTCTGACTTGCCACCAATCAGAAGTCCATTCCCACACGTTTCCTATAATATTATGAACACCATAAGCATTGGCTGGAAAATCTGTAACTGGATTCGTTCCCACAAATCCATCCTCTCCGGTATTTTCTGTAGGAAATTCTCCCTGCCAAATATTTATTCTGCAATAGTAATGTTTCTTAGTATTCAAAGTTTCAAAATATGTAAAGAATTCAGTTGGTAAACTAACCGGTGCTCATTATTAGGTGTTAGTTTATTACCCCAAGGAAATAGTCTATCATTTAGACCACCCCGACAAGTAACTTCCCACTCAGCTTCAGTGGGTAATCTTTTACCTAACCATTTACAATATGCCAGAGCATCGTTCCATGACACATGAATAACTGGATGATCCATTCTATCTGTAACATTGAAGAAAATTTGTTTATAAATAATTACAATAAAGTTATAAAATATTAATGAAACAACATACCTAAAATATTAGAATCGTTTCCTTCGGGTTTTCTCCAGGAAGCTTCCTTAACTGGCAACCACCAAGGAGCTTGCGCAACAGCATGCTTTATTTCTTTTTTTACTTCATTACTGATTAAACCTTCAAATACAAAGGAGTCACCATACTTTTCTGCTTCAGTTTCATGTCCAGTGGCTTTTACAAACTCATCAAAATCCTTATTACTCACTTCGTACTTGTCAATAAAAAAACTATTAAGTTCAATCTCTCTTTTGGGATATTCACCATCGGCCATGAAAACAGGATCATCTGTACCAATGAAATATGAGCCACCTTTGATTTCAACCATATTAGCTGTCAAATCATGTTTATAAACAGGCTTGATAAATTCATCCTCGAATTCATCTTCTTTGTTATTCACAGGACACGAACCATCTTGGGCTTTCTGCCGGTTTAAATTCTTCCCGCAGCCGCAATCTTTGTCTTCGCTCGCGCACGTTAACGCGACGAGGAATCTCAGCAAACAAACTGATATAAATACGTTACGCATCTTCTACAACTACAACCGTACGGAAACAATAAACGCCCGACTATGTTCGAATGAAAAGCTTTCTCGGCAGGTGTGTCAGCTGTAAAAAAGTTGTTGCCGCCGCGCGGCTACTATACACACCAGAAGTGCGTCGGACTATAGGTTATGGATTGGAGAAGAGAAGCCACGTGACTTGGGCGAACGACGAAGGATCGCGCACGCGATTCGAGGTCGCTCCGAGGAAACGCGCGAAAGTAGAGCGCTTACGTGCAGGCAGCGGGCCGTCAAAGTTGATTGCGCTTCGCGAATATTTCTGTTGACGCGACGTCAATCGATCCTCTTCCGTTGTGTGGGAGCGAGAAGGAAACGCACGGCTTTATGCGCCTTCGATGGAGGGGATATGAGAGGATCGAGGAATAGGAAAATGCACGCTGGACGATCAATTTTTACAGCGCGAAATGAAAGAAGGTCGGCGACTAAAGTGATTGTCAAAGCAATTTTTAATCATCACGAAGCTTACGTTTATGTACAGATTAAGCTATTTACATGCGATTATACAACGTAACGTGTCATATAATTATCATGCGGCTTCATTGATTTCCGCATTGCGACATTGCACTTTGACGAATACAAACTTCGCCTCTTACACGCTATCATCTACGCTATTGCATTAGGACTATGGTTTATTGATCTACACTCACGTTTAGCGAGTGATTTTGTAGAAAAGTTCAAATACGAATATAAACAGTGACATGACAGTAGTGCGAATCCTCGTCATGGCAGCTACTTGACACATACAGAATCGTCAACGTTAACAGCAAGAATTTAAAAAAAACAAAAAAAAAAACATCCAATTATTCGTCATCTCTTCCGGCTACTTATCAGATCTTTCGCGACGTTTCCGTTTCCCGAAGCGATCAACGTCAGTGATCGCACGTGGGCAGATTGACGGTGAAGAATACGTTGAGCTCGATGAGCGATGCGAAGGCAAGGAAAACGCAGTACAGGGAGAGGCACGCGATTCCGACTTTCCGGTCGAGTCTGAATCCGTTGCACCACAGCGCGACGTAAAGCAGAACGAGGGTGGACATCAGCGACACCGAGCTGTAAATCAAGCCTTCCGAATTTATCTGTACGAAGTGCTGGCCTTCTGTCGTTGGGAGAATCGTGGATTTGATTAGCCACGGTAGACCGAGGCACAAGAGGATGTCGAACACGTTCGATCCTATCGAGTTACTGATACCCATTGTTCCGTGACCTGTTGGAATGAAAACGCTGGCGATAATCAGACGATAAGTTTTCGCGTCGGTCGGTGCTTTACCTTGATTCGTCACGATGATGCTGGACACGGCTTCGGGAACGCTCATACCCGCGGCGAGAAACGTCAAACCCATAACCGAATCTGGGATTCCCATGGTGTCGCCTGAAACAAAGCCACAAATTCTGACATTTCGATGATTTTATCCTAGGCTGATCTGTAATTGGATTATTTACCAATGATCGTGATATCCCAGCCAACAACGTAGGACATAAGAGCAATCCACACGATGCACATTAAGAAGGTAAGAGAATAGCATCCTCTCAACGAAGGTCTACGACAGTCGGGTATAGTAATCAATAGTACCGCATTGATTGGATATGTGAGGATCCACCAGCAACGTTCTAAACCGTTGTCTGGCCAACTTGTCATGTCTACGATTTCCACTGAAAGAAGAGTTTTCGATCGAATTACATTGTCGACGGTTTCATTTGGTATGGACGAGTTGCTCAGGTACTTACTAAAATCTTGACTTGATTCTAGACTTTCGACATCAATGATTCCATTGCAGTCTCCTGCAATGAAAGTGTCAGTTCAGAACGAACACGAATATTCGCTTGCGAGCAACGCAATTAACGATGCACTCACCATTGTGATAGAAACCGTCGTTGACCTTCGCGTTCAAGTAAAGTCCGTCGTGTCTGCCCGACTTGGATTGTTTGAATGAATCGTGAAACTTGTCCTTGATAATCAATGGGCTCTCCTCGCTAAGGTTCTTGTACTTCCTTCGACGTTTGGAGACAAAGAGATTCAAACAGCTGCTGATACGCGTGTTGAAGCACATAGCTAAAATGTTGATCGTTTGCTCAAAGTCGACGTGAATAATTGAATGTTTAATTTTAAAAAAGTACCAGCTTTTGCCTACCTAATATATACAAAACGTAGAATAATACGAGAATAAACGCTTCATACCACTCGATACGACCATCGTGTAACGTACCAATAAGCAGAAGTACGGTAACTCCGTAAGCCAAACTGTCTCGGCTTATGGGCCACCATTCCAGATCTAATACCTGTAAATAATAATTACATCTTGAATGATCCATGCCGAGATAAGACTGGTCGTGCAATGGCGGAAAATGTTGCTCTGATTTTGTGTTAACCTCAAGATCGAATCATCATATTATATACGACTGATTAATATCAGTGACATTGTTTTTGATGCAGGCGTTGTGTAATGTTAATTCAAATATTACGACTTTACAAATCAGATTTGGCGCTTAATTTAATTTACGGCATTATCTGACACGGCGATCGAGATTAAAAAATAATCGGGACGCTTGCAGAAATCCAAGCGTAACATTATCAATGGATTTCTGAAAGACGTGTTTATCTGTAAAGCAACGCAAATGGAAGAAGTATTTACCTGGTTGGCGAATAGACCGCAACAAGCAGGGACCGCGAGAATGTTGAAAACGGCGGAGCCGACGATCGTGCCGACTCCTAGATCTCCTTCTGTCACGAAGGTGCCGACGATGTTGATGAACAATTCCGGACTCGATGAAGCTGCTGCCATGAACGTCGCGCCGGCAACATCTTTCGACACACCGAGTTCTGGAAGTCGCCAGAGGCGAGTCGTGAAATGAGATTGCAGATCGGCCGCGAGAACGAGCGACAAAAGTCGAGCACTTACTTTCGCAAATCTTGGTGATGGAGGGCACGAAGAAGTCATCGCATACGATGGCAAGCAGAAGAAAGGCGTAGATGGCCACGATCACGTGGACGACAATGCAACCGTTTTTACGCTGCTCGCGAGTGAGTCCATCCGAAGGGAACTCTTTGATGGACGGTGGTGTGCAGTTGCTAGGACGCTTGAGCACCAAGGTCGTCTCGCTCTCGTTATCCGTGACGACGTCGACTACTTGAAGCAGCTTTCGAGAGGAGCCTTGAATCGGCGAAACGTATATACTGTGAGAGAATTGGGACTTGGCTGTGCGCTTGAATAATTGTTGGCGTTTACGCCTCGTTTTTGCTCGTAAATACTTGAAACGAGTACAGACATAGTTGTCGTGACGATTGATTTCTACTCTTGCTATTGAAGCCGTCCAATCAACTTTTCATACAGCTTATTCCATTTCGAAAAATTTAACGAAAGATCGATTCTCAAATCACTAGCTTGAGGGCGACTTTTTCCATGAATGGATTTCAACTTTTACGATACTCAAGCTAATCAGTTTACCGTGCGGAACTTTACTTTTCTCTGATTACACGCTGCGGTACACGTACGTCAAGCGGTCAAATTCTCAAAACGTATTTTGTTTGTATATCGATTTCATTAATCGCTGCAAATTTACGATTTTATCACACATAACTTCATACGTCTAATCATTAAAGTTTGGGACGATTTACGATCTTTCGGAGCAGATAGTGTTTTAATTCTATTGCAGCTTTCTTGATTCGCACTCGTTAGTCGGCCTGTCAATTGCCTTGTACAATCAATTTATCGCAAGAGCAGAAAAAATAACGACGATACGACATTGCCCTTATCAATTTATATAATTACTTTTGAGTAAAGACTTGCATCGAATTTTGAATTATATTGACAATTGTAAAATAATTTAATTTTTCTAAAATACAAAGTGGAAATTCACCAGTGAAGTGTATTATGAAAATCTACAAAAATAGATAAGTACCAAGAGAATAATATTTCAAAATGACTCATTGACCTAATCACTACTGATTATCTTACAAAGTCGTCAATTCTGAAACAACGATAAAAGTGTCTTATCGCGACGGCGAGGGGAAGCATCGAGACATGGAAAATCATTGGGGAACAGATGCGGTGCAACGTTTTTGTGATACTTATGCTACCGCTAGAAGTTATGCATTTCTTTCTTTTCTTCTGACATTCATTTTCGACTCTTAATCACGTTTATCTTTAGATTTTTGTTGCGCGAGTAAAATCAATAAAATAATAATTGATTTCTTTTACATATGCTCAGCGTGTATTACCTTCGTCAATCTTTGCGTCATATTACAAAAACTGCGCGTATTTTTTTTTATCGCGTTTCTTTCTCCGTAGAAATCGGCTGCAATCAATGCGCGAAATAAGTCCACGAGTCATTGTCAATAAATTTCTTATCCAGCAAATCATATTTGTCTGCATTCTATGTGCTCAGTCCCAAAAGTACATATTTCTATCCCGAGTTTATTTTTCTTGAACCGTCTATATACTTAACGATTCTTGAAAATACGCGCGGTGAACACAGACATTGAAAAGCGAATCGCGAAACCTCGTTATTATAACTCTATAACTATTTTATTATTATTATTATTACTATTATTATTATACCTGTACTAACGCCTAATTTATTTCTTACCAGACTCGTTTTGATTTTCATCGTTTGAGAATAATAGTTTTCACGAGAGTAAAATTGAAAAAAAACTTACCGAATCCAGCGCTCGTGTCACCGCTGGGGATCGTCTTGACAGTAGCAAATCCAGCGAGGCCCGCAATCACGCAGTAGACGGTCGGTATTGCCAGTGCCAGGACCAACCGAACTCCCAGGGAACGTCGACTCTTACCCATAGCCAGCTCTGCCAACCTTGTTCGACCTCTGTTCCTTGTCGCGCGACACGAACGAAATTTACGGACCTTTGTCTCTCTTTCGGAACAAACGGCCGAACGTATTGCGCAAGGACGTACTGCAGAGCGATCTCGGAGGGAGGGAGTCGAGGGCGACGACGTCCCCGCGCGAAACTGATGAAAAGCGCAGTCTCGGTTAATATATTTAAGGGAAGTGGCCTCGTTATCGCAGCCCGATAAGATTGTACTGGGGAGAATGGTACGAGGTGCTTGCTGTAGGCTTTTAAGACCACGTCTTCGAGGCTTCCCTGATGCTATTGCTTCCATGGCAGGATTTTCCGCTGAAACCCGTGAAAATAGGCGAAACTTACGTAAAGGCTTCCGAATGGAGTAGAGAAAAAAAAACAAATGTTCGAAGTGACGCGTAGCGCGAATTGGATCGGCGACGACGACGATACGAGAGAGAGAGAGAGAGAGAGAAGAGAGAGAGAGAGAGAGAGAGAGAGAGAGAGAGAGAGAGAGAGAGAGAGAGAGAGAGAGAGAGAGAGAGAGAGAGAGAGAGAGAGAGAGAGAGAGAGAGAGAGAGAGAGAATCTTGGACGGTGTGTGAGCAACGACGCGGTCGTTTCACTTGACACACGTTGCGCATGCCGATCGATCGGATCGACGCGAAGGGCCCAGCGCGTGCGGAGCCCCTCCACGCCCAGCTTGGAATTCCTCGTCGACAATGATGTATGACTGTAGCCGCTGCTGGTTCGTTGATCGACGCGGATCGTGCTCTGATTGATTTACGACAGCCGAAGGCGTCACGCTACGCCGCCGCGCGAAGGGCTTCGCATGTGCGTTATCCGCTTTGAATGGACGGGCTTGGCAATTGCTCTTTCGCCTCGAACGTCGGTTCCTAATACTCTCGTAATCACGTCGGATTCCGAGGAACGACTGATTGCCGAGTTCCTCGGAGTGGATCAGCTGGAAGCTGGAGGAGAGAAAAAATAAAGAAAACACGTGGCGTCGCATTCCCGCGCTTTTCTCCTACATCGACCACCATCGAGGTTTTTTATCTTATTGACGGATACCGAAAGCTCTTCGCGCAGTCGAAGATAAGGCGGTGCTTGTATTCAATTTTCGTTTACAAACAAGATTCTTAACGCTCAAGCTCGCGTCGGATGGATGGCAAGGTCGGTCGATTTCAATCTCTAATCGAAGTCGCCAGCGACACGGGCACATTCGGCAAGAAGTTGCACCTTGAACGAGTGCATCTCGATCATCGGCCGTGACGCAAAAGGAAAAGAAAAAAGCTGTATTCGAAGGGAAAAAGCGCGGAGAAGCAGCAACGGCTGGCGAGCTCTTCGGGAACGAGCGCATGTGTACGGCGCGCGCACCTCGGAAGTTAACGACCAGCAGAGCACGGCAGCGGCAGCATCGTCATCTGCTATATAGAGAGAAAGAGAGCGATGTAAAACGAGAGAGCCCAGCGCGAGCGAGGAGGACAGGAGGCGAGTGCTAGAGAGAGAGAGAAAATTAGCAGCGAGGGCCGCGAGGAAGGGGCCTGGCCGATTCAACAAACGATGCGTCCGACAACCGCCAGTAGTTGTTAACGTAGTATGTGTGCGACAACGGGATTGACAGCATGGATTCGACGTCCGACCTAGGAGGAGGTTGGTCTTTATCGCCTGAAAACCATTATTTCTCTCTCTCTCTCTCTCTCTCTCTCTCTCTCTCTCTCTCTCTCTTTGTTAAGCGTCCTTCGACGCTCGCTTTTCATCCATATTTTATCGTGGCTGCGCGCCAGCTTGCAAGCTCTGCTTTCGTGCCTCGCCTCTGTCGCTCGGCTTCATTTTCGGCTTCCGATCCTCGAGTGCGCGTGACTTGGCGAGGCAAATGACGACGGGCCGCTCGGCCGAGTTTCCGCGGAGCAACAGTGGACACTCGGGCGCGGGCGAGTGAAGTGGAGTGAGGATTTTTCGGGCGCCGAGCGCCGCGGGGCCAGGCAGGCCAGGTGAGCCGACGAGGCGGATTGGCGCTAGAATCGGCTGGAAATTTTCGTTCGACCTATATATCTGTGCGACGACGTGCGATGAAATAGTGCAGTCACGGAGAGCCAGTCTGAATGAGCGAATGAGTTATCCGGCAAATGGACTTTAAACGGCTACTTTTGTTCAATGCACAATGCGTGTTTTTCAAGACGCGCGCGCGCTCCAGTTTTACCTGTGAGCCGACTTCCGCGTCGCGCCGCGCGCCACGACGGGGCTAATCATCGAGGGCAGGCGCCATTTGCGCGACTCGATCGGCGGATCGTTAACGAACGTCGAGCCACGTGCGGAATTGCGCGTGCCGCGCGGCGGATCGATGCACCCCGCTGGAGCGGAGATCGATCGCGAGCGCGACGCAAGTGTCGCAAGGTGTGGCGGCCGCCCAGGGCTCCTCTTCGTACGGCGCGAGTCGCGCGCTCCGCTCCGCATCCTCCGTTAACGATCTCTCTTCACGCGATCCCTAATCTCCAGACATTTCGAAGTAACGCCGACTTTAAAGGTTAATTTGCTCAATCAGAAGAATAAGGTTAGCTCGAGATTAAGCCTCGCACAGCGATGTAGCGGCATGCGCATACTCGGACATTTATTCACAACACAATTACCGCTAAAATAGGAGCCTTCGGTGCGCGCGCGAGCAGATACCTTAGCGAAAAATTGCGCCAGTTAGCAATTCGGTCATTTTCTCCATTTGTCGGAAAGCTTCAAATTGAGCTTTTCCTCCATTTCTATTTTCGCCTTTCGAACTCGATGGATCTTACTTTTCCTCTCCAGTTTCCGACGACAATATTCGGCACGCGCTCTCCGCGAGATGCCAGAATGATCGTAGACCAGCGTTCATAACAAAAGCGAAAGTAGCGATGGAGTAAGAGCTCCGGTCAGTGTACACGAGGACAAATGAATCGGCAAATAGACAATAATTCGACGTTCGCCAATTCAGCAGCCAGTATGACACACGTCGTCTATACTTGTCAAGCGAAATTCATGTTTTCTTGCTCTATCGCTTCTGTCGACGTATCCGCAGCGTTTGAAAAGTGCATGACAATCCATTTCGCTCTGATAACTTTTCTTTCGCACCCGCGCACGAAACTTACTAATTTCACTGTTTCGTGTGTCAACAGGTTACATCACCGATCCCTCTCGGAGCCTCAATAGTACGTATAACAAATGTCAGACATTACACGATGCGAACATTTTGCGAACATGTACATTTTTTCCAATACGACGCATCGTGGACGCGAGTCAACGAACGACTTGCAAACGTTTCTCTCCCCTCGTACGAAAATGAAAAAATATATAGCTCGATTGTCGAATTATCGCGTACACAAATCGGATCTTCGCGATTAGATTCTGTCCGGCAGATCTGGAAAAAAATTCCACTATCGAGTCAGGATGTTTGTACAACCTATTTTATTTCATAATATTTTTTTTTCGGTAAGCGGACATCAATCGTTGATCGTGAATGTACAATAAATCGGGTTTATCAAGGAAAAAGTTGAAAAGTTGGGGAAGCACAATATCGATCGATTATCGCAAAGCTTCGTAATTTTTCAAGTCTCGTGACCCTTCTTTTTTTTCCTTATGAGTTATGGATATCGTATCGCTTCGCCACTTTTTTCAAGTAAAAAAACAATGTTGCAATTGGCGCTTCCGTTGCTTACGCGGTAAACGTGTGCGAAAAAGAGTGCGAATGCGTTCTATTTACTTGGAGGTTGTAAAGTATATCTCAAATAATCTATTATTTTTGCGCAATAAAAAATAATTTTGTTATTTTCGTTGAGTTAATAGAAAAATTGAAAATATCAGTTAATAATTTCATTCGATTATTGTAATGAATTGGATTGATAGTAGTATTAATTTATCATTCTCAAAAATATTTCACACAATTTCTTAAACACATTAAGACAGCCGGATTACTGATAAATGTTATCGTCGAAAAAGGATTACATTAATCGTATTCGATATTTCAGTGCTGCCAATATTTTGTACAGAGTGGATTTAAAAATTGATCATCAGTCGATCAAAACTTATTGTTCAAAATAACAAGCTGCAATGATTCGATAGCAGTCGCCACATCAGCCTGAAGAATCGCGGTTTCTTAAATGAGCCATAAATCGAGTAAATTTAAAAGTAAATTTCCGCAAAGCACCGGGCAGCGAGTTCCCGATAAACTGCTCCCCCCCGCCCCTCCGTCGTAAGAAAGAAGAGCGTTCGCTCTCGTCGCGAATCGAAAGCCGAGCAAAATCTTCACCGAGATCGTCGGTCAACACGACTGCCCTTATCGCGCGACTGTGGTAAAATGTCGATGGGATCTCGCGTTAGCGATGAAAATCCGAAAACGTGCTGGCGCCGATCGACCGCTCGACTCTTATCGCCGAGCACGTGGTGCAATTGTTTCGCTCCTTCTTGCTCGCAGCTTTTGCCTTTGTTTTATATCCCCCGCAGGTCGCCGCTGCGAAATGCTGTCCGACTTGGCTCGTTGCTTTCACGTTTTTCCGGCAAGAGCCGCGCGGAGAGTCATTCCGCTTTCCCTTATTGAAGCCACTTTTGCCGCCCAAAAATTTTACTTTACGCTTCGCCTGGCTTTGCACAACCGCAATCCTCGTTAGACGGGCTTTGTCGGATTGAAATCATTTGCCCACGATGATTCCAGCCGGATTCCCTTTAATAGGTGATTCGTACTTGAAGCAACGTCCGGAACGCGGCAACTTTAGTGAGCTTGTTAACAAGCGATTTCGAATCCGCGAAAAACGAAAAAGAGTGCGTTCAATTTCCGAGCTTCGGCATCCTACTGCAACTCTGAACACTCCACTAAACGCATTTCCAATAACTCATTTTCAAGTTGTTAAAAGAGAGGGGTGAGGAGGAAGAAGTATTCACAATCAAAGTTTCCGTGAAGCGCTGGCCGTAATTTACAAAATCAGAGAAGCGCAAATCTCGAAAACTCATCGGAGCGTTAAGAAGCAGCCGAAGGGTGAAAGCAAATCAATTAATCCGCCGATCTCGAGCGGCCTCTTTTTCTTAATTCGATCGATATATCGGCATTTCAGGGCAACGGTGTATCCGAAGCTTAGGGAATTCACAGCTTCTTCAAATGATGCTGTATGTCGTGTAATTACCCACTGCGCGCGCGCGAGAGAGAGAGAGAGAGAGAGAAAGAACGCCTAATCCACGGCAATCAGCCTCAATTCAAAGAACCGCAGTCGTCTTACTCTTGTTCTTCGCGAGGTTTCAGTGCTTCTCGTTTGCACTTGTCACTACGATGTTGTCGTGCACCGTTTGTTTCGAAGCGGCCAGGCTTCTTATTCTGCGGAACTTCTTTTGTTTCTTACACGAATTCGTTTGGCCAGTGGTTATGCTTCTTTTTAATTTTGTCTCGTAACTTCAATAAAGAAGAAACGACAATGTTACAGTTAAAGATAAATAAATAAATACATTGCCGCGATTTCCACAAACAAATTTTCTTCGCAAGGATTTGATTTTTGGTTCGTTACATCAATAAGAAGTACGCGATACAATGGTTTATCTTTCGTCGTTACGTAACAACAGTCTATTGTAATAAAAATCTAACAATATTCTAGTCTGAATTGTAATGGTTGTTTCGACGTTTGCCGGAGCATTTTCTTATGGACGATTATTTCGAATCTGTCAGTACTTGAAAATTATTTCAGACAACTGATGTTATTATAAATCGCAATAAATCACAGCCTTCAGTAATCCACTTAAAGCCGGTCAGCGAGAAACATGATCGCGATTGCACCAAAACTTTCCTTGGTTGTCGACAACGATAAGATTGCAGAAAAAAATGGGAGTGCGATTTAGTGGCGTCCATGCTGCTTTTGCGATTACGATCTTACGCGACGACACGACGGCTTACGTGGCGACACGTGACGCGGGCCCATTGAGATTATACGCGCGCGCGCGTTGTGCGTCGCTTTAGCGAACAAAGTAGCTGTCCTGCGGGGTGGCTGTCGCGCACCAACCGGCAATTAGAAAGTCTGCGCGTGGCGTAGCGATGCGACGCCAAGTCGAGCTGCTAAGCCTGCGAATGCCGATGGAATATCAGGCGGGACCGTGTCGGCGACGAAAGCGGCCGAGTCGCGTGGACGCGCCGGGGCCTCGCGACGATAGCCGCGCTGCGAGGATGTCGAGCGCGAGGCGCGAGCTCATGGAAACTCTTGGCCAGCGACTGCGAGCCACGGCTTAATAACAATCGCGACGTCGAGTCCGGCTGGCGAGCAGGCAGGTCAGATGGTGCGCGTGCACGAGCTCCTCTCTCTCTCTCTCTCTCTCTCTCTCTCTCTCTCTCTCTCTCTCTCTCTCTCTTACGGGCTGGCTTTTGCTCGTTTATATGTGCGACGTACATTAGGCATGAATGGCACAAGCTGAATGAGAGCAATTTAAACTTCTTTAGGCTGCTTAATCGACGATGGTAGGAAGCTTCGCATCAAGCGTACCAATACTCAAACTGTATATGTCTCTCTCTCTCTCTCTCTCTTTCTCTCTTTCGCACGCGCGCGTACCTTTATTTTCTCTTTTATTTACTTACCGATTTGGAGCTTTCGTGTCATCGCTTTCCGAAAACAGGGGAAATGATTTCTGCTTGTCCCACGGTTATAATACTCTCATTTGTGTACGCGTGTGCGTAAACTCTGAATGTAAGCTCGTGATCGAGAAACCGACTGGTCACGGCTTCAAGATTGAGTATAGCGACGACTCGCGACGACTGCGCTCTCTCATCAACAAAGAATTGTGGGCGTAGGTGAGAGAGTGAATTCTCGAACGATTTACTAGAATGCGCAATCGAAGGAAGGAATCGCGAAGGGACGGCAAACAGAGGGGAAGGGTTAGGGGAAAAAGCGTGCGAGAGAAAGATCGAGTAATGAAATCTGAAAAGTTCGATGAAACTTGAATAGGCGACGTTTGTCCGCGGCGATCTTATCGATTTTCATACGTGCGCGCGCAGCGGCTCCCTCGTAGATAACAGCTTTTCTTTTCCTTTCGCTTTTGTTTACCGGCCTTACAGTGTGTCTTTTCTCGAAGGTGAAAAGTTTTGCGCGGCCGTGCGCCGACCGACGCCGCGCTCGCCGTCCGAAGATTCGACCCTCTAGCGCGTCGCCGTGTGCGTCGCCGTGCGCGCCTCGGGCCCAATTGCTCGGCGTAACGAGGCGCTTCCTACTTTTCGCTAAGGCTTCGCCTTCTGCTTCTCGTTTGTTCTCGCTGCACGGGGACTTGTGCCTCTTATCGGGCGCAATTCAACGAGTCGATCGTTTTCATTGCGCGCGCTTATGCGTGTCAAGGCTTCGCTCGTTGGCCCGAGCCCGTAGCAATCGACCGACGCCAGCGACCGAGACGACGTCTTCGCCGTCGTCGAGACGAATTGGGAGAACGCTCCGCTGGCTGTCGCGCGCCGACCGCGAAAATGCCGAGGCACACACACACACGCACAGACAGAGGCCCGAGTGCACGCGCGACCTCGAGGTCCGGTCTTTTCAACTGAAAACGTTCCCATTTCTGGGAGTGGAGAGGCGCCGCGCGCGACGCACGTCCGCGGTGGCTTTTTCACTTCAGGAAATCCGAACCGACCGATATCCGACGGCCGCGCGCGCCCGTTCGCTTTGCTGGACATTCGCTTTCCGCTCGAGTGCGGTCTCGCTCGACGATATTGGCCGTGAGCAAACGCGTGCCCGCCAAGATTCCGCGCCAAATCTCGTTAATAAGACGAAGGAGAAAGAGAGAATTGTCGGTCGAAGCGAGCGAATGCGTACGTTTCACTGAAATCGCCGAAAGTGCGAGAGAGAGAAAGCTCCTCCGAGCGAGCGGCCGCCGAGTGAAGGGATAAAATCCTGGTGGGGGAGAGAAAAAAAAAAGTCTTAGCGAGCGTCCAATTGTAACGTCCTCGTGCGATTGGCACCAACTCAGCCGTGAAAATGCCAATTCTGCAGCTCGAAAAGTTTAGCTCGGCCAGCAGACACCCCGGATCATTCGGAATTACTCTAATTACGCGCCATCTGCATCTGCGTGCGTCGTTCGTCGTCAAAAATTATTCGATTTCGCATCCTCCGAGATTTCATAATCTTGCCCGAGAAAAGCTCAAAAATAATTGGAGCGTCTAATTGACTAGAAATGATGTAATTTTTGATGGAACTGTCCTAACTGGAAATCCAATAAAAATCTCCGAATACAACTGTTCGATTGGATTGAATTATTTGAGATTGAGAAAATAGAGTTTCGACAGATGATGAACGGCGAAGCTCGCGAAAGAGAGAAAGAAAGAAAGAAAGATCAATGCTAAAAGCGCGAGCCACGTTAATTAAAAAGGAAACGAAGTTTCGCGAGAGGCGCAATGCAGGTAAAGAGTTGTGCCTAACGAGAGAGAGAGAGAGAGAGAGAGAGAGAGAGAGAGAGAGAGAGAGAGAACGAGAGAGAAAAGGCGCGAAAAAAAAAAAAAAATAATGCAAAGATTGAGGGCGAGTGGCGCAACGCGGGTTAGTTAGCCTCTCTTTCTCTCTCGCTCGTTCGCCTATCCTTTCTTTCGCCCTCTTGAAGAAGTGCACTGGCACCGTTATCATCTTATGCCTTGCGCGCTTCAGAGATTCGTTCGCGATTAGCCTGCCGTTGTTTCACCGACTTTCCTCTTTATTTGTCTGTGGCCTTTACGGGCTTTATCGTTATGCTAATTTGCGGTGAATTTTATCGAGTGATATTTAATTTTAGAAGACGATATGGGCCAGCGTTAAATTTGAAGTGGATTTTCTTTACGTCAATTGATTCAAGTAGCACCGGCAGTTCGATTATTGATCGGGCAACCAAATTTCATTTGGTAATCTATTTGCATACAATCTAGATTGGGCATTCGCTACTCGATTATAAAATAGATCGCTTCACAGAAATCATTTGCGTCGAACGGTTTTGACATTTTCAAGCTACATTATGTAAGGTCGACGTATCTTTTCTTGAAAATCTTATTAATTATTGATAGTTAAAAATGATAACCAAGTCGATTATGTTTGAAATGCCAAAAGACGTCGATTAAGTTGACCGAGCAATCAAATGCGAACAATGACTGGGAAAAACAAACAAAATGACGTATACCCAGTCGATCGCGCGTAAAAGCCGTGACAGTGTCGACGAGGCATCAATCGCGCGTGTCACAGCAGTTTCTCCGTCGGAGAAGCTTCCAGAGGTAACAAACAACGAGCGGAAAGAGAAATAGCCGAGTGGTCGGAGGCTTTCCCAGCCTTGCGTCGTATGCACGCCGGCGTAAGCGACGATAAGGCGCTATTACGAAATGATTGTTGTTGCAGGTTCGAACTGTACGCCACCGGCGATCGATGACTTCCCGAACGACCTCTTCAGCGAGGAGCAGCGACAAGCCGGTGCCGTTATCGTCCACGTCATCGTATCACTTTACCTCTTCATCGCCTTAGCCGTAGTTTGCGACAAATTCTTCGTACCTGCCGTAGAAAAAATATGCCACGGTAAGCATCCCCTTTTTATCCAAGTTTACGTAACTGCACTTATCTCGTTTGCCTATCTTTGACGATAACACGATTAAGATTGGTTCGAGAGATAACACGATGGGATTTTTCTTTTTTTCTGCACTTTCGTCGAGCGCCGTGAAATTTCGATCGAGTAATTTGAAAGCGACGCGGCTTCCTGCACGCTTATTATTTCCCGAGGTTGCTGTCTGAAGCAGGGCAGCTCGTTATCGAACCGATCGATTTTGCCTCGATGGACGTCGAGCGGCCACGCGAATTGTCGCTCGGAACAATGCTCGGCGAATCGAAAGAGTCGATCGTCGGCCTTTACGATCGATCAACGCGACGGCAAGCGCGCCACTGGGTTGATTTCTGGGTTGGGGGAGGGAAGGGGAGAGGAGCAAGCGAAACGCCGCTTTATCGTTATTATTATTATTATTATTTGGTTTGTTTGTTCTGGAAGCACTGTCGATGTCGAAGGATGTGGCAGGCGCGACTTTCATGGCGGCGGCGACATCGGCGCCAGAGCTGTTCGTCAACGCGATCGGCACCTTCATCACCGAGGGCGACATCGGTGTCGGCACCATCGTTGGCTCTGCCGTCTTTAACATACTCGCTGTGCCCGCTTGCTGCGGGATCGGCGCTGGCATGGTAATTACCAGCGAGAGCTCGCATTGCGAGAAAGAAGGAGAAGGAAAAGAAACGAAAAGCGCTTGCTAAAAATGGCCTCCGCGGTGTGCGACGTCGTTGCCAATAGGACGCTGGTAACGACGTGGCACGGCAGCGTGTCGTCGAGCCAAGTGTGAGAAAGAAATGAAAAGAGAACGGAACTTTGGCAGGTAGTAGTACCACTGGACTGGTGGCCAGTGAGCAGAGACTGCCTGGCGTACGGCGTGACCGTAGCCATCTTAATCTGCATCATCCACGACGAGAGGGTTGAGTGGTACGAGGCGTTATGCTTAGTTCTCCTCTACATCGTCTACATCGCCGTAATGTACTACGACAAGTCCTTCCAGAATTGCACGAGGTTCCGCGCGAAGAATTCCACGCCACCGGCCGAGCCTGACGCCCTCGATACCAGGCCGCAAAGTTAGTTTCTCTCCTCCTTCCACTTTGATCTCGCCTGATGCTAATAATTGACGTAAAGTGCCTTGTGTACGTGACGAACCTTTTGGTATTTGATCCCGAGCGCGAGCGTGACACCGACGCGCCTTTTTCCAACTCGTTCAATCGTCTCTCTCTCTCTCTCTCTCTCTCTCTCTCTCTCTCTCTCTCTCTCTCCCTCTGTGTTTTCGACCGACACCTCGCCTGCATTCCCGCGACGCCGACGAGGAATTCAATTGAAAGCGGCGCTGGGCCTTCGTTTCGCTAACCGCGGCGGATTAACGGCAATTAACCGACGGCGCAATTCAGAGTATTATCGACGGCGAATAACAGGCGGCGGCGCGGCCTGGCGTGACCGCCGAGAGCGTGAATTTCGAAAGCTCGTTTCTCTTCATTGAGGCGAATGGCTCTTTGATTGAGCGACATTAAAACTCTCGCGCCGCGGGCGTCGCGGGCGTCGCGGGCGTCGCGGGCGTCGCGGGCAATCTTGATTATCGCGGCTCGCGAGGAATAACACGGCGAAGGGCATTGCCTCACTGCGTGCGATGTTGGTCCGCAGGTGACGCCGGGGAAATTCACTTGTCAAGATCCGATAAATTGCAATCGGCCGCCGACCGTGTGGAGCAAATTGCGACTATCGACGTGCCCCTGCAGAACGGCGGCACCAAGCCGCAGGAGGAGAATCAAGAGGCTGGTAAATCTTCCCTTTTCGCACGAGGCTGCGAATCCTTTTGCACGCTTATAACCACCCGACGATACAGTTATTTTGCGCTCTCCACACCGACGCCACTTCGCAGATCGATCGTCTGAGTCGGTGCGTCGGCGCGTCCTGGCTTTTAAATGATCGTGCGGCTTTTTGTAGAAGAGTACGAGTATCAGCTGCTGGTCTGGCCGAGGAATGCCGGCTGGTTGAGGAAAACCGCCTGGATATTGACGTGGCCGATTCACTTGGTGTTCATGTGCACCATTCCCGACTGCGACAAGCCCAAGTTCAAGAAATGGTTCCCTGTCACCTTCCTCATGTGCATCGTCTGGATCGGATCGCTTAGCTACGTGGTCGCTTGGATGATCACCATTATCGGTAATGACTGGCAAACCTTTATTTTTTTACAATTTGACAAAGCTCCATCGAGTCCAGCGAGTTGGCTCAAAGTCGGTTATTTCTTTGCCAGTTGACGTCGACAAAAGCAAGTTTCTCGCGTCGCGAGAGCGCAAGAAAAACTTTTGTTCGCAAAGCGTACTTTTCGAATCGAAATGTGAAAACGGTGTCGAGCTCGAAACTTTTTGACAGCGACAGCAAAGAGTGACAAACACGCTATTGAAACGGAGATCAGTGCCGTGACGTGGCATTGACCATCGCGTGATCGGGCAGGAGCGCGTGTGTATTAATTGATTATTCCGTACGCGTGCAGGAGACACCTTGAAGATACCGGACTCGGTGATGGGAATCACGTTCCTCGCCGCGGGAACCAGTGTGCCAGAAGCCGTGTCCAGCGTGATCGTGGCTAAGCAAGGTCGGCCTCTCCTCTGTCGTCGTCTCGTTCCGTTGCTCGCGAACTAAACGATATTTTCCGACGCAGGCCACGGGTCAATGGGCATCAGCAACTCGATCGGCTCCAACACGTTCGACATCCTGCTGTGCCTCGGCCTGCCGTGGCTGATCAAGTCGTCGTTCGCGCCGACGAAAAAGGACCAGCACTACATCAGCATCAATTCCGGGGGCCTGGAGTACAGCGCGATCTCTCTGCTGTCAACTCTGCTGCTGCTGTACGTGGCCTTCGCCGCGAATCGCTTCCAACTCGACCGCAAAGTCGGCCGTGCTTGTCTCTGCATGTACGCCGTGTTCCTGATACTCGCTACCCTCATTGAGCTCAATGTCTTCTTCCCGGTCAACTTGCCCACTTGCAAACCAAAGTCGTCGAGGGGGAAATGAGCGAACCGAACCATTCGGCAGCCACCCCCATTTTATTCTATACTCAAAAACGAGCTAACGTCCTTCGATCTGCATCCGACTTTCGGGCGTTTTTCGCTTTTCGCGATAAAATGCTCTACAGTTTATCAATTGTTGGTTAAGACTCTGTTAACTCTTCTATGATAGGATGTCGATGAAATTCAATGCTCAGATTTGCTGCAAACCTGTCCAAAAAACGTGCCCTAATTCGTTGCGGTCAGATTGTTTTCGCTCGTTTCTTTTGTAAGTATTGAGCTTCGTAACTTTGTACAGACTAAGATTGAGGCATCGCAAATATTCCTGTTGGCCAGATGTATTTTTTAAAGTTGGACGTGTACAAAATTATAACTCGCTGCTTCTGATGCAACACATTTCTTCGTTTGTTTGTCTGTTTTATTTATTATTTATGTTTTTCCACCATTAGACACTTGAAAAGTCTGGATTTTCGAGGAAAAAGTGATCGCATATATTTTTCACCGAGTAAAAATCAACGAAGAGACGACGAGGGGCGACAGTATGTATGTGTGTTCGTATCGTGTTTGCACGCGTGAGAGAACATGAAATATAAAGAGCAAAATTGTTTATCAATATTCACATTAAGGCCAGAGCTTAAAGGAACGAAAATTTTAGATTCTGTGTGACTCGATGGTGATCGTGAATTTTCGAGTGCCATTGAACTTTCTGTCGGAAGAACATGAAATTTATTACAGGGCAATTACGTCAATGAATTGGAATTCCCGATCATCTTTCAAATGAGAAATTAACATTGCTGGTTATTTTCGGCGATCATTCAATCATTAAGCATCCTTTGGGTAACGAGCAATGTTGATTTTACAAATTTATTTATTAATCTACGAAAAATTGAATGCACCTGTAACTCATCGACAAATCAGCTGAGTCCTCATTAACACATTCTTGCGCTTTCACATTGTATATCGCAAGATTAGGCATCATAATGTTTTATCCGCAGATATGAGAACAACAAAAATTTGTTAACTCACTGTGTAACGTTAAGTTTCTTCGTTTATACATTTTATTAATTAGCTAATAACGTCCATCGACTCTTTTATTTTTGTCTTCTCTACTTCATATTTCACAATTGCATATAATAATATATAATAGAACTTTCGAGGACGACCGTAGTAACAAAATCTTTTGTGTAAAAATGTGTTCACACATGCGCTTGTTTTTTTTTTGTTGCAATTTGGCTTCTGAGTTGTGTAACATTTCAACCATGACGTTGTATTAGATCGACAAAAGCAGAATCTCGTCAAGAATTTTGCTGTGCGTACGCGTACATTTATACGTATAAATGAATAAAAAAGTTTCGATCTCTCGACTCTCGTAGAATTATCAAACAAAGAGAAACAAGAAATAGCCGTTGAGTGAGGAAGGAAGAAAGAAAAAACAAAACGAAAAGAACGAATATCCACACCTTAGACGATAACTATAGATCATAAAGAATCTCAGAGCTGTAATGTATAACTTTGTACATGACAAAATGATTGTAAAGTAAAGAAGAAAAAGAAATGTACGATAATTCTTTCGTGTATGTCGATTATTACAAACACTTGCGACACGCACTTGTCGAATTGAATTTTCGCGCAATGCATGTAGCGCGCGAGTGTATGGCGGTCGCACGCGTTCGAACTTTTTAAGGCGAAGAGAAACGTCCGAGAGAAGAAGTTTTCCAGGACGCGCGTACACGTGTACGGGGAGGGGGCAAGCTCCGCGACAACCGACGCTTTCCCAAAGGCCTTTCCCTTGTCTCCCAAGTGGCGCGATCTTTTCCGCTTCTTCGCCGTCGCGCACGGACCAAATCGAATATTTCAACTCTCGCGAACGCGTCGCTCCCTGAAACTCTCTATCTCTCTCACGGAGAGTCATTTTTATACGAGATGCCATCGATGCAATTACTATCGACGAGTCGTTCTACTTTTCGAAGAGAGCTCGGCGAGCATTCCCAAAGAGGAACCGTTCGCGTTGCCGACTTTAGCTTGGCTTATAGATTTGCTAATAAACAAGCTCGAGTCGAGCGCTCACTAATTCAACTGAAGATCGTGCTCTGTCCGACCAGTTGTTTCTCGTCGTCCACGGAAGTTTATCCGCCAGGCGAACAGGATTATGCAAAAATTTTCCATCAAGTGCGCGCTAACCGCATTCCTTCTTGTTATCTCGATAGTTACTTAATGTCACAACGATGGATAACAATCTAATTGAAATCGATAAACTAGCTTTCCCAAGAGATCGCCTCGGTGAAACGCTCGACGAGGGGGAAAAAAAAAGTTCGCAGCGATGAATTTTAGTTCAGAACCCTCGCCGCGTAAAATTGATACACTCTAACTCTCTTACCCGGCCTCTTTCGCCAATCCATCAGCCACTCCACGGAATGCTCTCTTTTTCACCTCTCGCACACGCCGACAGCGTGCCGGATCTATCGATTTCCTTGCCTCGACGCTCTACACTACTCTTTCTCTTTTCATTCGAGCCATTTTTTTTTCAACGAGGCTTTTTTTCACAAAAGCACATCCAGTGCGCATTTGGTTTTTGTTTGTGGAAATACCGAATGTTGCCCTTTCAGCATCCCTTTGAATTCGAATGCGAGTGACTTTATGAAATGCTTTTTTTAGACTTTTCGGATAAATTCTTGTTCTACGGAAGGCATTGGCTTTTGAATTGTCGCACTCGAAATGTCTCTGCGCAGACAAAAATAACAGCAGACTTTTACTTTCCGCAAAAAGAAGGCAGCAAAAGAATCCTTTGCATGGTACATTTGATTTTTCTCCTACAAGAGCATATTGAATTTTAAAGGCTCTATTCGGATCCTCTTTTGAGGGAAAACATTTAAAGAGCTTACGCACGAAAGAATGCAAAGAGAGGAAGTATTTTGATATTCAATCTCTGTCGCTACTCGACAAAGCGTACTTATCTCATCTTTTACATACGTTTTGCAAAACGCCGAGCCAAGTGAATTTTGAGCATTCGAAAAATCAGCCATTCCTTCGATTTTTCGGCACAATCGCGGCTGCAGTAGTGCGAGCCGTTAAAAAAATGTTTCGTCCGCATAGCTAAAAAATTCAATACGCTCCTTTTAGCCTCGGCAGGCGGTGTACACGTGCTTATTTATTTTCTTGGCAGCTACCGCCACACGGAGAGACGGCACACGAGAGTTTTGGAGGGGGATCGGGAGTTGAAAGAGAGAGAGAGAGAGAGAGAGAGAGAGAGAGAGAGCATCGGTTATTGGGTCTGTAGGTCGCGGACTACACACGCGCCAATGCTGTCTTGGCGCATTACTTTGTGCTCGAGAGCCCGTATGTTTGGCTGGCGCTGCGATACTTCAGTTACACATCTGTTAATTTTCGCCCGTTCGATGCTCGCACAGCATGATTTATAGCAGTGCTGCATTCGGTTTTTTCCCTGCGGTTTGGTGTGGGGAGAGGGGGCGTGACCGGGACTTTTCTCAGGGTGGTTCATCTTGACTGATGATTAAACGCGTCGTGGGAATTTTCTAGGATAGCAAATAATCCTCGATTCCTGAACCGTCAAACTTTTCGCTCGCTGAATTTAATTTTTGCAAACATAATCCCAACCAAATATATTACTAAAAAAATCTTCTCAATTAACTGAAAGCTCTACTACAAATTCCTAAGTATCATAAATTACTCATAGGAGTGAGAAATAATGAAGCGAGTAAGGCAGGGGGGGGGGGGGCACGCGACAAACGGGTTAAAAGCTCACGCAGCGGCTGGTGGTAGAGATTTGACCGAACGTCAGCGAGAGAGAGAGAGAGAGAGAGGCGGAGATCTGCAATGCGGCGCCAGTCCGAGGGATCCTCTACTCTTTTGCTTGTCTCGTCCCCTCCTCCTCTCGCACATGTGTATCTCTATATATATGTTTATTTCCTTATCATTGTTTCTGGAGATTTTTCGTTACCCAATCGTCGGCTCATTTCTTACGACTATTCTACTTTGCAAAGGATTTTTTAGAGCATAGGTGCTATTTCGCATTGAGATCTTGGAGCACGAGGTCGTGTGTAATTTATTCATTGACTGATATTAATATGCAAATATCTTAGGACAGGTAATTGTTCGTCCGATAGTGGTGTATGTGCTTCGCGCTAAATTAACAGTATACGAATTTATTGATCCTCTTCTGAAGATGATTCAAATCGGCGATGCCCTGCTGCATCGTAGTCGTGACGGGTCTTTATCGAAATTACAATATGTGCACTTTGATAAAGTCAATGTCGGCAATTTATGTTCAGCTTTTGTCGATATTACTAGATTGAGAAAATGCCTATCCAACATCCGTCCTAAAAGTATTCCACGTAATATCGAAAGTATTTTCATGAAGTATAAACGAGGCATCAACAGATACGCAGCTAATCAGCAATGCAACCGAGAGAAAAAAAATTGTTTTGAACAAGGAAGCAAGTAGGCCAGTTAGCTCGGGGGTAAATTTCGCAGCGAAACTTCATTATGCGATTGTTTAACCTCCGGTTAAAAGAATAATAGTGGAGCCAAACAAAGACCATCAACTTCCCGAGGGTATGTAGAAGAAAAAAATCATTCTACGAGGTACACACGGTAAATGAAAACTTTTAATAAACACATACCAGTGCGAAATAAAATTATGCGAAAGAGGGAGGAGGGCGAGGGGGAAATCGTTCGTTTCAGTTGTCATCTTTTGATTTGCAAATGTGTCGCGACCGTTAGGGTAATAGCAAGTAGTGCGACTCCACGCTTAGGTCAGGCAACTGCCAGCGAAAACTCATGGGAAATAAATGGGTTGTCTTGAAGCGTTTTTCTCGATTGTTCGCTATTAACGCAGCTGTTGATGCTAATTGTTGTGCCTACCGTGCAACCGAATCAATTGAACTCGATCCAATAAGTGAGCAATTTGCAAATAGATACATACAACGTTTTTAATTGTTTTGGTATCGAATATAACAATAAAAAAATATTCACGTTGAGGAATTTCTTTTGCGAAGCACGAGTACAATACACGCAATTTTCTGCGTACAATGGTTCAGCGACACTCGACGTTTACCTCGAGCAATATTCAAGACCTCGTCGATTATTCAATCACTTGCTCGGAATAAGCTAGCCGCGATCCGTAAATATACCGAAGAGCGCTGGCGGTGGATTCGTTTTCTTTCACGAAAAAAGAAATCCGGCGGCGGCGGCGGCGGCGGCGGCGACGGCGGATGAGGTGAGACAAGGAGACCCGTCGAGGGAAAAGCCGTGGGAGCTGCCGTGTGCGCGTGCACGACGACGCGATGGCTGGATTTGTTAAATTTGCCTGACTCGGCAGCAGCCCGCGTGCTTTTGCTTCGAGTAATCTTTGCCTTTCAGCTGTGCTCGGCGGTGAATGCGAAGGGGTAATTCGTCTACAATCAAAACTATATGTAATTGTTTCACAAGTCAATCTTACGCGCAACAAAACTCTAATCGTAAATGTAACATGTAAATAATGATTGAATTTTTACGATAAAAACTGATCGAGTAAAAGTAAATGCCGTCGGGTGACGCTGGGAAAAAATGTTCGTTTGATACTGCCATGGCTTCTGCCGTAAATATAGACATGGCATAAACAAAGCGGTAAAGCACGAAAAGTATATAATACGCTGCATATATGTATATATAAAGTGGAGAAATGAAGGTACCGACATTGAACTAAGTTTAAAGCAGTGATAAAAGTTACAGTATCGGAAAAAATTTTTATATTTAAAGGATAATGAAAGCGCAGTAAAAAGCTTATCGATTGGAATGGTTTACGGGGTTTTCGAAGGTGAGCGAACAGAGGCGAGGTACAGCCACGAGATCGGAATTCCGAAAATGCATATTCGAATTCGCCGACGCAAGCAGTCCAAAGTCCATCTCGACAATTCGGAAATTGCATAAAGCAGTGAACTAGCAACTCGCCAACCGATGGAGTGCTGTCGGAAGCGGCCTTTGATGTTAGGAGAACAATTGTATCCAAATACACGTTAGCCGGCTCATAACTCTAGCGCGTAGGACTTTGGGCTGGCAAACGAACGATACTTTATTTAAAGCAAGGAAGGAACTTTACGAGAATTCCCGAGGAACGCAAATGAATCCTACGAGGAGCACGCTCGACGAAAATCTTCTCGAGACACACGTACGCACGCGTTTACTTTTACAGAGTTTTTGAGAAATTTTACCTTTAAAAGCTCAATTAGTCGTTTTCTATCCGATCGTTCGAAAAGACGTCAAATATTTAGCTCCGCGCCGTTCAAATAAAAGTTAATCATCGCAAGTTTTTGTATTTATATAAATTATTAATCGCAAGTTTATTCGAGGCAATGCCTTGTTTCGTTCGCTAGTCAGCAATTTCGCAAACCCAATTGAAATACAAGAAAAAACGAGAGGAGGTTGCTTCGTCGACACGGCCAAACCATCTCTTGGAACCCGTCGCAGCGTCAACGCAGGAGAAACGTCCAGGCCAGTAGCGCGCAAGGTCAGGGTAGTAACCCTCGCGCGGGCATCGGTGCGTGTAAGCGCGCGCGCGCGATACGTTCGCTAATGGAGCAAATACAGGGGAAAGAAAGGAGGCGAAGGGAAAAAGCATTATAGCGGCGGAAAACAGCGGCGGCAGCGAGAGTAGAGTGGCGGCAGTGGGGGGATAGTCGATCCGTGTGCCGCTCGGGGGATGCGACGGCGTCATGCGCCTTTGCCGCAGCAGCTCCCACCACCAGGCCACGGTTAGAGCGAGAGCGCAGCTCTATCCTCCCCCGCCCCCTCTAACCTCCTCCCTCTCCCCGCAGTAGCTGGTTTTCGCTCACGGGTTTCGCAGTTGGCTTGGCTCTGCAGTACTGAGCTCAGCTTCGATCGACCCAAACCTCACACGCGAACGGAGAGAGAGAGAGAGAGAGAGAGAGAGAGAGAGAGAGAGAGGTTATCGGGTCGCATTATACATATACGACTTTGCTACAACGTCCATGTCTCGCGGCGGCCGGCCGCACTGCGGTGCACCTACTCTTCAGCCCGGTATTAGATGATACTCGCTCGACGTCGTCGTTCTAGTTTCTCGTCTAAAACTCGCAATATGTGTTCCAGTTGGATGGTAATTTCGCATAGGTGCGTTTCTTTGTTATTTTAGTCTTCCCAGTGAGTGACGAAAAGAAATGTGTCACGGTACACGCAGCCGTGACGGGAAATTGTGCGACAAGCAGTGATTCGCGCGCAGGCGGATTACCATCGTGGACAGCGCACAAGTCGCTCTCGCGCGAGATTGCGTGCCCCGTTGATTTGTTCCCTGGTCGCATACCGCAACCGAGACGACGATTACGTAACGCGAATGAAGAATCTCTCCTCTGCGTTGCGTTCCTCGAAATCTCTTTCTCTCTATCTCTCGTCGGGGCTACACGCGAGTCGCGGAGGGGCCCTGCTTACGAATAATGTCGCCGAGGCGACAGCCAAGTCCGTCGCGCTCGCTCATTATTTTAGTATAGCGACCGATCGATCCTTCGAGATACACTTTGCGCGTGCATGCGAGACTACGCGCGAGGTCAAGCCTTTGCCTTCTCCGCGCTTTCGACTCTTCATGCGCTCCCCGCAGCGCTCGTCTGCGCGACTCGTGAGGAGGAAAGCGAGAGAGAGAAAGAGAGAGAGAGAGAGAGAGAGAGAGTAAGCGCGCTTTGGATTTTTCAGTTGGCGCAGTGTGCGGGACAACCGGGCGTGTACACCGCGTGCTCGATTTCTTCTCCGTCTCGTTTTCGCCCGAGCCGCGTTGATTTGACGTCGTCCTCGCCTTGACGTTCGGCGCCGAACAAGGCATCGCCATCGCTCTGTGTTTATATCGCGTGCTTCACGAGTATGAGTGTCAGCTACGATTTTCGCGCGAGTTTTACGGTAGCGGCGTATGAAATTCTTTGAAACAAAAGCCGTCGCTATTCGGACACTGCTGAAAGTGGTCGTTCAGCCGCTCTTATCACAGAGCGCGTTCATAAAGTTACAATTGAATCTATCTATGAAGTTATCGCGTAAATCTCAAGTTACAACAAGTAAGGTAACGATTTTAAGTCGTTTCTCATACAGTATAAGATTCATTCCGTTTCAATTGCAAGAAAGCGCGCTCGGGTTTTAGTATCCATTAAATTAGCGCTAAAATGAAGTGACGTGAATTTCAGCCAAGACAACTTTTGCGCGTGATACCCATGTATGTCAATTTGAAAGTTACACCGGTATACGCAAAAATGAACTGGGCTGCTATTCGAATTTTGAGGCTGGCAATTGTAACTGCACGCTAATCGAAAGTCTCTCTCTCTCTCTCTCTCTCTCTCTCTTTTTGTCTCGATTGTGCTAGCTGATAGTTATTATATTCCATTGGTGCTCAACGGTAATTGAAACAGCACTTTGCCAAACAACAAGACTTATCTCATAAATGATAGGATGAAATGACGAGGACACGTTTTCTTTTTTCCGTTGTATCGTCGAATATGGTATATCGTTTTATGGCAGAATATCGGAGAAATGCGAATGACCGAATTCGCGATGTGCAGGCGACGCGTGGACATAAAACGAATCATAAGGGTGCTAGCGATAGAACAACGGTAAAATGTCGGCGTTAGCGGGCGCGAGTCCGTTCTCAAATTGAGCGGAGACGCGCGAACGACGCACCGTCAGTCGAACGAGCGATAGCACAAAACAGTAAATGATCTTCTGCCAACAGATAATAAAAGCCTCCGGGACATAAAGGCCCGTCCGCAGAGAGATTGGCCGCCTGAAAGAAGGGAAAGAGCCTCTCTCCCTTGCCGTCTCTTGCCGTCTCGCTTTTGAAAGCGCGTGAAACGGTGTGCCTAAACTTGACGCAACAGTCCCTCCAGTGCTTAACAAACCCGAGTGCCTAAAGAAGAAAGAGCGCAGAAGCGAGAAGCGAAGATGCCATCGCGAGTCGCGGTCACGAGCACCTCTGAGCCGACGAGGCGAGAGCAACAAAGCCGCAGCAGTCACGCGGCGCGAAGAAGACGCGGGGTCGGGGAATAGCATCGGACTGGCAATTGGCTTATCGGGAGGCGAGTGGCGGAAAGAATCGCCAGACCGTGGGCAAGATGTCGTTGATGCTGTGCAATCTGGGCAACGCGCCGTCGAGCGCGCCGGGACGGAGCAGCGACAGTCAGCAGCAGCAGCAGCAGCAGCGCGAGCAGCAGCAGAGGGAACAACAGCAGCGAGAACAAAGGGAGCGCGAGCGGGAAAGGGAACGCGAGAGGGAGAGGGAACGCACGGCGAGACCTACGAGTGTCATCGCGCACAGCAGCCTCGAAGACGACGACTCTTATCCTTTGCCTACCATTTATCGGTGAGTTCTCTTTCCCCTTTTGCCCCTTTTGCCCCTTTTACCCCTTTTTCCTTGCTCGCGCTCGTCCCGTCTGCGACCGCGTCCTTGACAAGTACATGCTTGCATGCTTGCTTTCTTTCTTTCTGAACTCTCGGATCTTAACGTCGCTCGACCTTCTTTTTCAAATAATTTCTTTTTTCACCGCGTATACAGTGAAACGAAACAGTTATGCTCATTCGTGGTTTTTCATCGAGTAAGCTTTCGAAGTCATTCAAAACATTTCAAATAAAAAGTCTGATAGTTGAATTGTTGCTTTTTAAAGACACAGTCTTAGCTTTGGAGCGTAAAGCACGAATAGTTGGGCGAACGACCTCAGCGTTGCAACCAACCGTGGATTTTATACATTTCTTTCTTTTTTTTTTTTTCATTTTGATTGGCCTGTCAGAGAAAAATTTTGATTTCCTCAGATGAAAACGTACAGAGTGACACTTAAAATTACAAGCAGTTGCGCGAGCTTAATGCAAAAAAGTAAAATCACCATAAAAGAATTCAAATTCATTCGGCAAGCCGAGCAAACGCACACGTATCCTGAAAAAGAAGCCGATTAAAGCTGTTTTCCATAACCATGCGAAAGACTTGAGACATTGCGCAAAATGAAGGAAGAAACAAGAATAAAAGGCTGCCTCCATTCCGGAAGGAAAAAAAAACGTACGGGCGCAGAGAAAGATCTTACGCTCTTCACCTTTTATGCAAATGAAACGTGGAATGCTCAAATAGTTCGTGAGCATTCTCTTTTGTGTGTGTGTGTGTGTTTTTTTTTTTCAGTTTCCCCGAAATTCCGCAAACACGGGGAAGTTTTCGACTGCAAGTTTGCGCTTGGGCTTTCAAGTTGATCGCGCTTGGGGTTATCGGAGAGGAGCTTTGTCCTCGTTGCCCGATGACTAATTTTCCTTGGCGCTCGCCCGAGCTTTTCTCCGACTTAATTCCGACGGCGAATGCTTTACATCGAGCACTCCTCTAATTGGCGCCGCGCTGATATTAGCTTGTTCCAACTTAACTTTCGATGTCGGTTTGGCAGTTATGACAATATTGAGGACAAATTCATTAAGAGCGCTCGTGTGCCACCGCGAGATCCCGCGTGATTATTTACTTTGGTGATCGCTCGTATACGTTGCTTCGTAAAGTTCGAGTTGAACCCCAGGTATTTATGACGACGAGTAAGATTTTTTATGATCGCCAAATATTGGATCGTAAATCAGAGTTTTTTTCCGTTACGGAATCTGCACGCCGGTCGCGAATAAAGGGCGTAAGGGGGGGGGGGGGGGGGAGCATACGTCGAGAAATATAGACACGCATTGTTTTTGGCATTAATTTTCGTGAGCTTTGACTGGTCCGAGTTGCATTTTTCAAGCGAAATATTCGGAGCGCTTGACGCGCGAATTTCATGCCTAAAAGAGAAAACAAATGTATTTTGCAGATGTCGAGCACCAATAGCCAGCCTCGATTGCATGGAAGAGTTCAACGGCGGGGAGTACGGCAGTACACCGGGTACAAAGGAGCATCTGCTCGCGAGTTGCTTGGCGGGCGGTCACTCGCGCAGCCATCTCCAGCACAGCCCGTCGCCAGGTATTCGATACCGCAACTTGGGCAAAAGCGGTCTGCGTGTGTCCAATGTTGGATTAGGTACGCTTTATGTGTCTCTTCCTTTTTCATTTTTTTTTTACTTATCTCTCTTCTCTTTGGCTGCTGCTGCTCTCCTCCACTGACGTGTATCAATCGATATTCTCGACATTGCTCTCATCCTCTTCAGTATATACATACTTGCTATGCTTAGTTTCCTTCTTTTTGAGAAATTTACGTTCCATTCTAAAGTCCTTTAGTTTATTATTCGTTGGCGAGGTCAGGATTCAAGTGGGGCTCTAGTTCTGACGTAGCTGAAAGTACAAGAATACAGTTCAGTGGATTTTTTATAAATAATTCGCTCGGGAGTTCCTGCATCAAAGGCTTATTTTTCTGCAAAAGCTATAAAATAAAATATTGATTATCAGTATAGGTTTTAATTATAGACCGTTACATTTCATTTTTTCCCTGAATAGATAACTGATTTATAAAACTAAATGAATTTCATTCTATTTTTAGAAAAATCGATTGTTTTGTCTACGAATAGTCTTCTTTTCTTTGTAGTAATGGTAAAATAAATTCTAACCAAGAATATAAATTTGATTTCTTCACCACTAGATGGATATCTAATCTTTGACTGCAGTCGCTACTTGATGCATTAAATTACGTTACGAAATTTCTATCTTAGTTCGATCTCTAAATCAAAACACTATACGTATTGCATTTATCGCCAAACGCAAGGCCTTACCATGCTAAAATTTCCGTGCCTAGACTTCAAACAAAACCCTTTGACTTCTAAATACAAATGGATCTCGATTCAGCCTCGTCAACTTAGTAAAAACAAAAAAAAAAAAGAGAGGAACGTGGAAGAAGAAGAGAAAAAGAAATAACACTTTCCCTCGCACTTGTTGACGTAGCGGACAATGCCTCGGCTACAGGCTCTTCAGATCTTTCTTTGCACAAGCTCTCATAGAAACGTCACACAAAACCCGCGGCTTTTTCGTAAAAAAGGAAACACGCGCGCGCGCAACGATGTTCTGAAAACCCATTGTCTGTCGAAAACATTAGCAAGTCAAAGGGAAAAGTGGTAGATTTCTCGAGTGTCTTTGACGAATACACGTATGCCTCGCTTCCCGAGCTGATTCACACTCCGTATCGACTGGACTCCCGTCATTGAAGTATTATTATCTCCCGGAATGCGAGCGTGCTAGTTCGGTTGTAACAGTCGATCAGGCGCCAAAACGTTCATCATCGGGACCCGTCATCGGCATTTCCAAACTCGATTAACTGCATTTTTCCTTTGGGAAATGAAGTTTTGTAATTCGTGCGCGAGGCGAAGCATTAGTAATCTAGGGCGTGACTCGTGAATTACGAAAACTGATGGATGGCCAGTATTAAAATTGACGTTAATTATTGTGCTCGTGTATTCTTCTCGAGGCTTACGAAACTTAAAAAACCACGAGAATTCTTTTTGATATCGCGTTAAGAAATGGAATTGACGCATGAAACCATCGATCATTGTGGACCACTTTGCACACTCGAACGGTATTAAAGTAAAAGCATCGTTACGCTACTCAAAATAATGGTCGATAAATTTGTTGTTCTAAATTAAATATCACCGAGGTGTAAATACACCAAAGCTCGCTGAAAGATAAACCAGAGCTTATAAAGTATTCAAAAGTCAACTCGCATCGTCACTGCTGCGTTTCTATTTTGTTTGCTATGGAAACGCGAGCTAAACACTCACGCGCGAGAGGGTGGCAATGCGCGAAGCGGGCAAGTAGCCACTCTCGGGGTATCGAGCCAAAAGGCAATTACGCGCGCGCCCATCCACACCGCACACATGAGGCAGCGCGTGCACTCAAAGAATACGCCCTTCGCGCTTTCGTTTTGATGACTTTTCGGATTCTCCCCCCCCCCCCCCCCCCCACGAGATTGCATATTATTTTAATTATCTCATTTGTTTGTACTGCGATATAAAATATGATATCTCGCCGGGCTATAAACTAGATTACGCTACTTGCCTGGATTAATGGCTTTTTCGGTTGTGCACGCTTAGGATTTATAAGTACATCTATTTTGTAAACTACGAGACGATGACGAGAAAGACAGAAGCGTTGACGACTTGCAGTTTGATAGAATTTTCAAGCGTTGAATGCGACGAGGCAAATTTCACTGACGCTTTATTAACCAGTTTTGTTTAACAGCCTTACGGGACGAAATTCCAGTGACTCGGGGACCGTGCTAATTGCAAATTCATGATGCACCGAGCATCGAGAGTAATACTGACGTCAATTGAAAATTCTCGTGATTAATGGATAATCAGCTGTCGACGATGAGTAATTAAATATCAATCTGGAAAATGAGCGCAGAGACTTCCATTAATCGCGAATCGTAAGTTTTACAGTATCGATTCGACGGTACGATTAATAAACAACTTTGTCCTTTGAACGCAGACGCACGAAGTACACCCGTAACGAATCCATTGTGGTCTCTTTGGCAAACATAAAAAAAAACGAAGAAATAAAAGCAAAAAGAGAATTGCAGCATCATAAACCCTCGTTAACGTGGTAACTCAGTCGTATACTGCCGAGATGACAGTAATTGGGACATCTATCCTCAGTAGGGTGTATATCAGATAACTCACTTTTAGATTCTCGCTTTCTCTCTCCCATCCTCCAGAGATTGTAAATTCGCAGTCCACGGGGACTCGCAGACACGCTGGAAGATGATTTGCATATAGCATTTTTTTTTCCTTCCTCGCGGGCCAGTGGGAACTTCTCACGTCACGGTAATGACGCGCGACATTGAATCTTGCAGTCCACACCCTTCTCTTTTTTACGTGCGCGAGGGTGGACACACCGAAAAGTGCGCCGACGCGACAGAGAGGATACGTGCTACTTCGGCTGTTTCTCAAAGATGGGTAATGTGTTTCAACTTGGGGATTACTCTTCATTTCATTGCTGTTGTGTCGTCTATTTTGTTTTATTGTTGTGCTCGTTGTTCGTGTATCTGTATATTGGTGTTAGAATTAATATTGTGGATAAACATTACTATATTAAATTACATGGAATATTGAAAATATTATCGTCATAAACTTGAAATTATAAATTAATTGCATTTGTGTCAAATGAGCAACTGTGTAATATTGAACTTAGTTTCGTGAAATTAATTGTAGAACTGAATACCCAAACATTCCCGTACCATTATACGAATAACAAACGACCACAGAAACTAACGGTTTGTCCATGCAAAACATCAATTACTCTTCGTACATTATGATTTGCCTTGCATTCTCACTTCAAAAACTTCTATTTCTTTCCCACGAGCCTTCGTGAAAAATCTTTTTCCTTTCTCTCTCTCTCTTTTTTAATTGGTTCACTGTTTTAAAGTGCAGTCGAATCCCTTCCTCTTTGGCAGACAAAGAATTGGAAACTGGTTATTTCCATTTTTTAATACCTTTTGTTTGAGTAGCTACGCCCCGCACCCGACCAAGTTTTTAATTAATTAAAGGACTTGAATTTTTTTGCCGTCTCTCTCGTTCTCTGCCACTCGAAAAGTTCTTCGTGAGAGCACCATACGCCCCGCGGAGAACGGAACAGTTTTAAATGGTATCCCCACAAGTTTTACTTTATCGAGCCATCGAATGTACATCTACCGACAAATGTAAATGTTGAACAAACCACGTCGTAGCATGCAACACTGCATTCCGTTGTTTGCATTGAATCTTGGCCCCGAAAGAGGATGCATCCAAAAGAGATAGTTCTGCGGCGGAAAATGCGAAAAGCGGCGGTATTAAACGCGCCAACGACGAAATTGCAGGCACGTGGACGACGTTCAGCGGCGGCAATAGCGAGGAGAACGCGGAAGCCGTGATATCGCTCGCCTACGAGAGTGGCATCAACGTGTTCGACCTGAGCGAGGCCTACAGCGGAACCAAAGCCGAGACTCAGCTCGGCAATATACTGCAGAAACGCAACTGGAATCGCACCAGCTACGTCGTCACTACCAAAATTTATTGGAATCCCAAGTAAGCCCGCGCCGTAGAGTGCTTAATGATACGTTCACTTGGCGTCCGCCGAGGAGGGAATTCCGTTCGGATGAAAGTAGAGCGGCGTTTAGCGACGAATGATACGCCTTGGCGAGAGAAAAAAATAAATAAAAATGGCGGCTTTGTTGATTGCGAGATGATCGGAGAAGAGTGACATATTGTCGCCTCTCTCTTTTCTTTTTGTTGAAGATCCGAGGCGAGAGGGCTCTCGAGGAAGCACATTATCGAAACAGTGCAAGCGTCTTTGGCAAGGCTTCAACTGTCCTACATCGACATCGTCATGATACACAAAGTCGATCCCACTTGTCCTATGGAAGGTTTGCATTATTCAGCGATCGATCGATCGATCATGTTAAACCTTTTTTTTTCTCCGTAGAAATCGTCCGAGCTATGAATTATGTGATAAGTAAGGGCTGGGTCATGTATTGGGGCACGTCGAGGTGGTCGCCCGTCGAAATTATGGAAGCCTACTCGAACTGCCGGCAATTCAATTGCGTCACGCCAATAGTCGAGCAGGCCGAATATCATCTTTTCTACAGGGATAAACCTGAACTTTATATGCCCGAGCTGTATAACAAAATTGGTAGTCAACCTTATTCTCGCTGCTCGCTGACTCTGCCTGTCACGAGACCACATCATTGGTGCTTCTTTTTTTCCTTCTTTCAGGTGTTGGTCTGATGTGCTGGTCGACGATGTCGATTGGTATGATCTCGAATCGAGGTGATGACAGCGCTATGTCGATACTCTCAAGATCCAGATCGTCATACAAAGTAAGCCGTCGATGCATTGTATGCAAGCTTAATGCGCAAATGATGTCTCTTTTTATTGTCATGTGTGAACGAAAAAAAAAGCTTGCTATTGCAGCTCGATGATTTTTTTTCTCTCTGTCCTTTTCACTCTCTCTTTCTCTCTCTCTCTCTCTCTCTCTCTCTCTCTCTCTCTCTCTCTCTCTCTCTCTCTCTCTTCTTCTTCCTCTATCATTTAACATTAGTATCATTGCATCATTTTATCAATATGGCCGAATGCAGAACCTCTATTGTAGCAGTGTTTTATAGGCTGACGCTTCAGTAGAAACAAAACAAAAACAACGAAAATGTTGTTGTCTTTGAACGCAACAAAAATGTATTAATTTTCTTTCTAGAATAAGTCCTTCAGTTGGACAGAGGATGAGTCTCAGTCTTTGTATAAAGAGGTTTGTTAATCTCGTTCTCCCGTTATACCTCCTATTGTGCTCTAGATGTCTGTTTTATGGAGCGGATAATAAAGTTGTCGGGCAAAAAATTTATTCGCATTACGTACATAGTTGACACGCAAGTGCTGATAGAAATCTGTCTAGTTTTAATAATAAAGTTTTATTTTTTAGTATTTATTTTGTATTTTGCAACAGCCATGAGTGCAACAAAAATATCTTTTCTTTTTTCTTTCGTATTTTTTTACTTGTCGAAGGGATTGATAAAATTTGACCGAACCTTCAGAACATGATATAAGAAAATTAATACTCATTACCTTCAGATAAATTTGCTCACACTTTTGTACATAATTTTTTCATATTATATACTAATCCTTCTTCACAGAAACTTAGTTTTGTCACTTTTTATACTTCAACGTAACGATAGAATAGTGATATTTTTGTCATGTTTTTCTTTGTCACAATTATACAATGAATATACTAACGACGGCGTGAACTAGACTTGTTTCTATTAGAAAAGACGGAAATTGAAACGCAATTGACGAATAAACGCTTATATTGATAAATCAGGAGCAATGGCGAAAGAACTCGATGGACTCGGAGAGCCGCAAGTATTCGGAGAAGGTGCGCGACATGTGCGCCTTCGCCGAGAGACTCGGCTGCACGTTCACCCAGCTGGCGATCGCGTGGTCCCTCAAGAATGAAAGTGTCCAGTGCCTTCTCCTCGGTGCGACCAACATCGAACAGCTTTACGAGAGCTTGCAGAGCTTGCAGGTAAGACTCTGCGTGGAAGGACGCCAGACGTCGTAAACTAATGCCCGGCAACGTTTAGCTTATACCACGGCTGACGGTAGCGACGATGACGGAAATCGAGCGAATCCTCCTGAACAAGCCCGCCCGGCCGCCAATGATATCGACCTTGCAGCTCAGATGACAGTCGCTCTGCCCCCCGGGTAGCCGCGGGGGCTCGCTCGCCGGTAGTCCAAAGAGCGAACAAGCAGGCCAGAGCACAGGCGTCTCCGTCCAGCAGGAATCCGCGGAGCAAACCAACAAGGACCAGAAGGTCTCCTTTTGCGAGATACAATGATACCAATCGCACGTCTATCGCTACTCTTTGCTAACGAGCACATCGCCGTGCTTCTCCTTGTCATCGACGATTCGTTCCACCTTTGCGTTGATGCCTCGAGAACAGGCCAAAGTCATCTTTCGTATCCGCGGGCTTATGCTTTCTCAGCAAAGAGTGCGTGCAAACGAGTGAGGGAATGCTGACGAGGAACGCAACGAAAGACTAAGTAATTCTACTAGAAAAAACAAACGATCGAGGCTCATTGGACGGACGGATCTCGAGCCAAAGTCTTTTAAATATAACGCGTCTTATTAAAAAACACTGCGTCATGCGGTGATATCAACAAACGCTATTTTCCATTTTCCAATCGTTATACGAGTATAAAAAACAATAAGCGCGCCACAAAATTTTCTCAAATTTTTTCACAGCGAATATCCAATAGTGTCGGCTGCGACGCCCAAAATTAAAAGCTTTTTCTAATTAATAACAAAGAAAAACAAAAGAAAACCAACAAAAAAGTACGTTTGAATTGAAGAAAATATAAACTAATATATCAATAGGCACCGACAACATTTCCAATTTAATATAGCTGTTTGCAAATTTTACTTCCAGACGTGACATCGAGGAATATACATATAAATATATACGATCAATTTTTTCTCGTTATTTTAAATGTATATCTGTATGTACCTGTAAAAAACATTAATTATACTACACGCGGGACACAATTTTAAGAAACTCTAAATAACAGTTAAAACAATTCAAGCACATTGATCAAAAATATTGCATCATACAAAATGTAATGTATTATCGTTTACACTTTTTTTTTTATTCCTAGTTGGTCTGACTTGTACTCTATCTATCAGTAGCGTTAAATCAACGATGATACGATAAATGCGTAACGCTGCTTAATTCTAAAGTTCAAGATACCGATAATGTTCAAAAAAAATGATAAAATATTGTCAAGAATTAAATTTCTTGACAGTATTATTTTATTATTTTCAGTAGTAGATAAGAAATTTCACTGATTATTTAAATTGGTGACTAAAAATAATTTTTAATTGTATTGCTAAAATTGAGAATTTCCGCTTTTTAAAAAGACGCAATAATGCCAGTATTAAATAAATTTTTCATCAGTACAATATGTACATATAAATTGTTGACTCTAATAGGTTATATTAAAAAATAAATGCCGACGACGTAGATAAATATAATTAAATAAAAAAGAAAAATTTTCACCGATCATTAATCATTAGTTATTAGTACGAAGAATAACAAAAGATTTTTTCCGTCTGAGAAGAGTGAAAATCAGCTTAGCATTAATCGCTTTTGCATAAGAAAAACCAGCACCGCTGTAATTTCTTATATTTTTCTTCAGAAAATCTAATCACATATTGTCCATATCAAGAAGTTAATGTAGATTTTAAACAAATATCAAGACCACCTGTCATAACTTTTAATCTTACCAGGAAACTAGAAAAAAAATCTTATTCGCGCATGTACCTTTATCTTGAGAAGTAAGGGACTCTAGGAACCAAGCACATTTATGAAGAAAGGTAGAGACGTACTCGAAAATAAGTTATAATTCCAAAAATTTTATTATCCTCTATTCGAATAATCAGGTTCTAGCGATTTATTTGATAGCTCGAAAACATTGGACAACATTTCTATCCAAACAATAATTCATAAACCGCGTGCTGTGCGAAATGTTTATTGTGTTATTTTCTGAGTCTCTAAATTTCTTGCAAAGCTTATCTGTGAATGCAAATTAAATGGCAGAATTAAAAAATTTGCGTCTGTCAATAAACGTCAGAGTTACTATCATCAAAATAGAAAGAGAGAGAAAGAGAGAGAGAAAGAGAAAAAATAATAGTTAATTAATCGAGGAATATAAAATACAAAGTCAGCGAAATCAATTAATTAAATAAATATCTGATAATAGCGATTGAGATGATAGGACTTATTAAGTATTACGAAAAATTTTAAGTAGAAATTTAAAAAATTACAAGATTATTATACGACCTTTTTAAAGAGAGTAAAAAATTGTTAAAAAAATAAAGAGGAATTTTTTCTTTAATAATAATAAAAATAATAATAATAATACAAACTTTTATATAGTGTAACGTGTAAGTGGAAAAAGCAAACTCGCGACTGATCCATTTATGAAAATACTGCTTGAGATATCCGATCCTACTACAATAATATAGAAATTAAGTCGAGTTTAAATACTAAGAGATCATGCGTTTGAGGCGTAATGTGTAAATACACGGAGTTTTGTACGTTCGCTCAAACACGATATTATCTGTCTTCGAGGAATTATGAATCTTTGATGCATCTTTCAATCTTCGCGGAAATATATTGATGGATGACCATCCAGATATTGCCGGAGCACAATGGCGTTAAGTTCAGTCCGAGATTTTTCACGCTTGAGTGGACTATATTGTGAGCGATTGAGATTCACTTTGAGTATTGCTTAAGGTAATATGACGAATCGTTCACTCTATCCGCCTCAATTTTCATTGAATAAGATTTTATAGAAATAAAGGCATGTTAATGCATCGAACGGTTAATGTTATAATGAAGCAAAGACGCAATAAATAAAAAAAAAAGATGAAAAACAAACGACAGAGCGGTACTACGCAGGTTCGTAGTAGTTTGTAATCTCGATCGCTGATAAGCTTTCAGCCTTACTAGATTTTTACGCGTGATTAATGAAATTAAAAGCGAAGAACAAACACACACGACACACTCGAATCCGACATCGAAACGCGCTGCTCGCAATGTTTTAAATCCCCTTTGATCCATTACATACAGGCGAGACAAAGACACGAAATCTCGCGCTACGAAACTTTTCCAGCGAGTGCGTGCAGCTGTGACATATTCCCGTGCAACAATAAAACGCTCGAACGAGACGAAACGAAACGACGGCATTTTGGAATGCACCGCCGGGCGGGGGTCGCAAATATTTCGACGCGACGAGACAAGTCCCTTTTTCTATAATTAAACGCACATAATGCGCAAGTTAGTTTTTCCTCCTCGAGTCAGGCAAATTTTTCGATAAATTTTTTCATATAAAACAATAGAAGCTACGATAACAATAAACTACGATGGCATCGTTTGTACTAGCGAGTAGTCGAACTTAATGTGTGAACAAAATAACCGGATTACAGTAAAGAATTACGATGAGTGCAGTAAATTGCAGAATAAATAAAATAAATAAATTAATAGATCGACGAAATAACAGTGGCGATGGAGACGTCAATACTGAATCGCATCAAATAATAATAACAACAATAATATAATAGATATAATTAAAGAGAAAGAAAAAATTGCAATTGTTAACGCAGATTTTTTTAATGACGAGCATGAAATACAATAAGTAGCAGCGAACAAATTTGTAAAGCTCTGCAGCCACTTGCTCTTCGGACAATATCCCTCAGAGAATTTCGGAATCGTTGAACCAACGAATAAAAAATAAAGTACAGTATAATGCTCGCGATCAAACTGCGATTTACAAATAGGGTTAAAAGAAAATGCAATGGCACAAGTGTAATTGTAGTCTATGACGAGCAAATGTAGCACAAAAGCTATTTGAAATCCGAATCGCTCTTATCAGTTTTGCCTTCAATTGCTTTTGTCTTTTAAATTTCGACATTAAGATCGTAATAGAGTCAAAGCGATTTCAGTTTCCCCGTCTACTCTCAATTCAAATGATGTTTATCCGTCGTTAATCTAGGTCTCGTGTAAACTTGACTCTCCTCGGCAATAACGGACATATTTCAGTTATGTATTTATTTTATTTTTACAACTTGTCATTCGGTTATGGAATTCTTCAGTTTTATTATCAATATTCTACATTGTGAACGTTTATAATACATTGACAATGATTTTTCGAAAAATTAAAAACGAATTGAACTCCATACGAATTGTACGATATAAATTGCAGAAAGAACATAGTTGCTGATAATAATGGAGTAAAACACGATGTAATAATGCGAAAAAAATTGTCAACATCCCGCACGACCGATTTATATTCTCAAACATTGACAGTCGATTATAAGATAAGCGAAGGAAGAATAATGCCAATATAAAGTTACTTTTCTACCGACCGTATAATGTGCACCTGCATCTTCCTTCCCGATTCCAACTCGTGTTAAAACTAATCAAAGAAAATTCGTTCATTGTATGTAAAAGAGAAAAAGAAATGCAAGCGTATGAATTTCGCAGGATTAAAATACAAACAGGAGTATGAGCTATATACACACAAATAATATTTCGTAAAGTTTTTGTAGACGTACGACTAAAGAAAATCAATGAAAGCGCTATACGTTCCTCGGGATTGCACGAGCACATCCGAGATAATATAAAAGCCAAAACGACCGAAGGATTTCAAAACAACAAAACGTAGGTCGCGATCTTTCAAGCGCTATAATCTCCGAAATTATATACATAATAAATACGAGGAAAAAAAATTGTTTTTACATTGTTACACCGAGGCAAAGCGCCTTTTTATTATCAATAAAAGCTTTGAAGATGACGGAGAGATGATCGACCAATTAATCATTTATTATTCATTCCTTCAAGATCTCAATTATTATTGTTTCAAGTTAAAACAAGCGAAATCACAATTTAACAACTGGTTTGTTCGTTTCAATAAAATTAATTTATTCACACATCCACACGCATCTCTATTTACATAAATCATACATTCGTCAAGAAAATAAAAAAAAAAAAGAAGCAGAAACGAAAAATGTATCTCGCGACAATACGTTACAACGCGCACTCGGGTATCAAATTCTGACTCCGGATTGAGTGTCTTTGTTTTACTCAAGAGTATCATTCGCTACCACTTGTCGATATCTCCACCCACAGTCTGCTTTCCCACGAAAACGCCACTCACATAGTTATCTACAAATTGCCATCTACAGATAGAGAAGAAAGCGAGGGAGGCGTTCCTAGCACATCGGCAGATTGACGAAGAAGAACACATTGAGCTCGAGCATTATGGCGAAGACGAGGAACAACGCGTACATGAGTAGGCAGGCGATGGCGACTTTCTTGTTGAGCACGTAACCGTAGAGCGCGGTGACCGCGTAGAAGCCAATCACGCAGAAGATTATCGACAGATTGCTATAGGCGAGCGCGCCCGACACTATTGTCACTGCTCTGCCGCTCATGAATGACTTGATAGCCCACGGTAAGCTGAGGCACAAAAGTATGTCCAAAGTGTTCGCACCTAGCGTGTTGCTCATCGCCATGTCGCCGTGTCCTGGAAGCAAATTGTCATTTTGATTGCTCGACGCTTTAGTTTTGGGACAATCTAATCAACTTCGAGCTTTCTATTGCCATCGAAACTATGTCGCCAGCGTATTGGCATTAGAACGAATAACGACGCAGGCAAAGCCGGTGGCGTAATTGATTAAGGTACATCGTCAAGGAACTTTCAAGTTCTTTTCTTTGAATTTGTCGGCAATTACAAAATATTATTCATCGCATCTGTTTGTAATCCAGCTGGATTCGTAAATGCGAGCAAACATCTCGCGTTAACGACGATCGTTCAGTGAATTTTTCAAAGATGATGGAAAAAAAATCATTAAAAAAACAAAAAAGAACACGTGTTAAGCTGTCATTTATGCCCGGTATATGCTGTAATTCGGAATGCTCACCGACAATATTTACTCGCCTCACTTTGACACACTTCGAGCTATATCACAAACAGACATTCCACTCGCGACGCGCCTCTGTTCAAGCAAATTCATCGGTAATAATTCTGCTCAGATCTCTCGGGAAAGTCCCATGTTTATTTCCGCCTTCTCGTGCCAACAGCGTCAATCGAAATTATTTTTTCGTCCGGCGAAGGAATTCGATAAAAGGAATGTTGGCAATTGAACTTGCTCGACTGGAGGTCAGCGATCGTTGTATATATCTTATCGCGGCGTTATCTGAGATTACTAACCTTGGCGGGAAAGTATGACGATGGATACCATTTCAGGTAGATTGCCACCGGCCGAGAGGAAAGTGATTCCCATAACTGAATCTGGAATACCAATAGTGTCGCCAACGACAGTGGTCATCCAAGACACAAGATACGATGAGATGGCAATCCATATTACGCACATGACGAAGGTTGCTGGATACAATTTTCTCAAACACTTGAATCGACTGTCCGGTATGGTGACGAATAAAGTGAACTTGATCGGCCAGACAAATACAAACCATAACCTCTCGTAATAATTTTCAGTCTTGGGTAATTTGAATATTGTTTCTGAAATCAGGAAAGACATTTTCTTTTTCGTTACGAGGTTAAATATTCATCGCATGACTTTTCTTAAAAGCTAGCATTGTTATTCAATCCGAGTGTCATCGTAGGAATGAAGAAATAATAATCTTCTTTTGTGAGAAATCTCCGACGAGAGCTACTGCAAAGTTACACCGGTGACTTGTACTTTTTTTCGATCCATCGATCCACTCGAAATAATTGTATAATTATATCGCGAAACGATCGTTCCTTGTCCGTTAAGCCGGTAGATTAGATTATCGCACGGCTATTTTTCTGACCGGCGAAAATCAATACGTTCGGCATATCGATGGAAAAGGAATTCATCTTGACGAATTGACGCACGTGAATGTCGAAAGCTCGAATTGAACAACCAACAAAGTAATTCGGTACAGCTCACCTGGTTCCGTGTAAACTTCAAGGATCGGTGTAGCGCCGTTTGTCCCATTATCAGCGTTCGCTTGCGCTTGGATCTTGGTCAGACTATTCTTATAATCAGTCACAAGTTCGCCGTGGAAGAACGGCTTGTACGTTCCAAATGGCATCGCGTAATTCTCGTGCTTGACAGCATCTGCGTGAAAGCAAATGGAAAGCTCGGCAAAATAGCTCCGGCAAGCGGATTTCAGACGACCGAGCGATTACCTGCTTTGGTATCGACTGCATTCTCGATGGGCTTCTTCGTCTCGCTGGACTTGAAAATTTTGGCTAAAGCTCGCATAACAGTGTCGTTGACGAAGAGCAGGGTGAAGTAGGCGGCGAACAGCAGCAGTAGTATCAGCGACTCGTACCAGGTAACCAATCCATCCCACATGACGATAACGAGCACCCCGACGGAGAACGAGTATATGACGCAGTCCCGCGACAGGATGTGCCATTTCAACTGTATACCCTGCATGAATTTTGTTTCGTTATTACCTAACGTAAGTGTAACCTTACAACGATAATCATTGCTGTGTATATAGTAAAGTACCCGCGAGACACTGTTAATGTCGGTCGTGCAAGGTGAGCGGCACACATGGCAGTAAAAACCATTGGTGCGTTACAGGTAGGTTTTTAGCACCATATACATATACAGCAATATACAGCAAGTTGGGCGGCTGAGCACTGCTGAGTTTACCTTGGCAGCGAAGAGAGCGCCGACGGCCGGCGTGGCGAAGGTGTTGAAGACCGCGCCACCGACCACAGTGCCGATGCCCAAATCCGACTCGGTGAGGAACGTGCCGACGACGTTGACGAACAGCTCGGGGAAGCAGCTGGCAGTCGCGAGGAAGGTCGCGCCGGCCACGTCGGCACTTATCTGCAGATCGGCGCAGATGCAGTCGAGAGCGGGCAGCAGGTAGTCGTTGCACACGTAGGCCGTCAGCAAGAAACAGTAGAAGCCGAAGAACAAGTGCAACAGCACCGCTCCGCGTTGGCGCTGCTGATAAGTGAACAAATCCTCGGGGAAATCCTCGATCGAGTGCGGCGAGCAGTTGCCGTTTATTTCCGGATCGCTCGGCGTCGTCGTGTTCTCGCTCTCCGGCCTAATTACAGAAGAATCTGGAGGATCGACGAGTGTATTTTTAGTCGTCGCTTTGGCTTCGTTCGTTCGTTTAATTGTCGCTTGATAGGATCGTTGCCGACGCGACTGATAGCCAAGCGTTTATTGCGCTGGTAATTTGCTGCGTCTGTGTTTTTGTTTGGCGAAGGCGCGCTCAATTTTATGAATGAATTGTCTTTCGTATTTATTCGAAAAAACATGCTTGCGGCGATACGAATAAACGTCGCGGTATGAATATTGTCCGTCTATGGTTTATTTTCCGCGAGTGGCGGTGCAGCACATTATTCTACTTCGCTACGAATACTGATCATGTTTACGCCAAACGTACGTGTATGTTGTTCGCAAGATGCGGCTGAAGAGTGTAAATGAAGAGTAGGACATTTATTACGTAACATGTATAAAGAAATGTGCGTGTGACTCAATAGATGTGTTGCCACTGATATATTTCAATAATGTAGATAACCGAGCGAGTCGCTGTAGTTGTACTTTCTCGGTTGCGGACCCGCGCAAATATGCATATTTATTTCACGATTACATTAACCGGACGCTTTTTCAATATTATACTTTCTCATTTTCGGCTATTTTCAATAGTCTTTTATCAGATGTACCTTCAATTCAATGTCAACATTTTCGGGGTTGAATGATTTTTTGGATCTTTGTCAGGTAGACTAAAATTTATTGCATTCCACGTGAAAATAATCGTCGACCCCGATAAATGATCCGCGAATGTAAACTAATCGAGTGTTACTTTTAAAGAGATTTATGGCAAAGTTTACTAATGTGTTTTTTGCTTCCGCATTTATTTACATTCTCGCAGAGTGAATGGAAAAATTATCTATTGTATGAATAAAACGTAAATTACTCGGAGTGTTTATCGTGAAAAAAAGAGAAGACTCGAGTATTATGCACGTGTCGAAAGGAATTCAAGGCAAATGTGTATTAATGAGTGTATTGATACCTATAGAAATCAACTTTTCGTAGAAAAAACAAAGGTGACTTCATTGACGGTATAGACACAACAGTTTTACAATATTTTGTTAAACCTCATTTCGCTAATAAAAGAATTTATACTTTGTAAGGCAACGTTTAAACGACAAACTTACGTGTATTAATTGTTATCTTCGATTTTTTTACTTTGCCGAATAAAATACCTTGACCTTCTTTCAATCGACAAACCCGATATACACATTTTAATCTTAATGTTTTAACGTTAATCTTTTAATTTTTGATCAATCGAACCACGTAACTTGTCATACGCCTTGACCTTCTTTCAATTAACAAACTGAAATTACATGTTTTTCTACAGTACGCTCTTATAAACATCCCATTAATCTTTAAATTGCCGGTCGATTAGTATTCGTAATCAACATTTTTCAAACACGAAACTTTCTCAATAATATTTCGTAATGGCCTATGTTTTTCACTGAATTCCTATATTGTATGTATACTACAAGTATTTATAAGGACACTGTTACTTTCCATTTCGATTCAATGACTCATTAACGCTCAAAACAAGATCGCCGAACAAAAATAAAATAAAGAAAAAATGGACCGTTCTAAAACTTCAAATGTCTATTTTTTTCATTACCGATCAAACGCCACCAAGAAAAAAAAAGATTAATCGTGAGCACTACTCACCTTGCCCGATATTCAACGTATGCGCTCGACCACTGCAGGTACAAAAGAGCACCAAAAAAATGGGTAACAGTCGAAAACCCATGATCACCCTGTGACGGACAAAGTATAATCTAGAAGCGTTAAATGTCGTTCCGTCAGCATAGGTATTTCGTTGAGGAACCGACGAAGGGACGCGAGCAACACCGGCAACAACAACGGGCACAGAGAGCCGAGGCACCGTTCAAGTGTCGACGCGACGGCGGACTGATAGCCGCTGACGCTTCGGCTTGGAGACGAAACCAAATCTCGCGAAAGGTGCCTCTCCCTCCTCGCTGCACTTCACCTGCCGTGGCGCTTCTATTATTTTAATCTTGCCTTTGTGATGTTGCGCAGACCGCGTCAATGTCATGTGTGCACGCCGCCAACGTGCCTGCGGCTTATCGAAGAGATGCGCGTGGCGCGGAGGAGAAACGGTAGTCGATAAGACGCGCCGTCCGTAATGGGTATGCGACCGCTCGCGTGCGCGTGATTGCTACTAGCTCATTATGGACTCTCACGACGAAAATATTACACGATTTATTCGACCACACATTTGCATATGTTTGCTTTCTATCTGCCCGCTGTCCTCCCCCCCCCCCCCCCCGCCTTTTTAGCGCCAACTGCTTTCAGCTTACTTCTTTCTGCTTGGTAGAGATGTTTTTGCAACGTTTAATAATATAATTTTGCTCATGGAAAGGTCATTCTGAAGTATTTGAAGTTCACTGTCGAGATGCTGCCGATGTCTGACTATTCGCTATGTTTCTCTACTTGGTGGTGCGCTGTTACAGTGTGAAGTCATAAAAATTACTTTACTGCAGTTAGAATTCGTAATTATGAGCAAAGCGATGATCTGTACTTCAATGGTTTTTTCGTAGGAAAGTACCTCCCATCGAGGTTTATTTTAGTGAAAATACACGTGACACGATTTCTTGTACTACTTACTTCTGTCTATCTAATCGTTTCCAAGGATACGTAGACTTTTTATAGCCAAAAATTAGATTTCCAATGTAATCTCAATATCAACACGTGATTAAAAACTCTTTGCTATATCGTTATTCCCATATTGATTCCTCAAGAGTCACCTGTAAATCACGGCTGTGCGTGCAACTGATAATCAACAAAATCAATTCAAATCAAATCTAGATCGATTTGCGTCACTGGACACGAATAAGAAAATTTTACAAATGTTAATCGCCGGCTTATTTTATCCTTCTGTATTTTTGATACGTGATTTTTACGTCGATTTGTATCATCTACTTGAAAATTTTCATTCAGAACTGAAAGTAAAGAGGCACTACGACCAACGAATGTTTACTCGGAGTAAAAAACGAGTGATTAAAATCAATGTATCGTTAAATGATTAACAGTTTACATAAGCAAATAAATCGATGAGTAATTCCATGAGATTTAAATTATTGGATTATGCTTTTCAAATTTGTAAGGTTTGTCGTTGCGATTGGCAATTAGAATTATCGTAAATAAAGTGTACTGACAAGATAAATGATATACTTGTGCAAAATTACGAAAAATGTAAACTCTCCATGATGCATTTAGAAATATACGGATTGTGAGGATGATTATAAAGCACTATAGCTAAAATCCACGGCCATTTATAACTGATGTCAGAGAACTCGATGATTCCTTTAGAATCAGAGAAATATAACTCTGTTATCAAAAACAAAGGCTTGCATTTACGAGCAGACTTTCTGTCTAACTGCAAGCTGATAAGCTTCGCGTGCGATCAAAACAATGTGAAATCATTGGTATTTCCCTCATGCTGCACTTTATTCCAATTTGATCTAATGAGTATTTTTATAAGATTTGAGCTTCTTTAATAGATGTATCATCGTATATTTTTAAATAAATTACTTCTCATTAGAATTAAGCAGGAAAAACCTCGAATGCTCTGTGAAACGATGAAATTTATGTAATTAAGAATAATCGTGATTGCCATGTGCTTCCCAGAGTAATATTATTATCTTATACTGGAACTGATAACTGTTAAAATATGCCTAATCGAAAAATCTCAATCATTAGTCGAAATCATTGTAATCATGTACGTGATCTAGTTCAGCAACTTTCCTGATGATGAATTATAGCCGATAGATCCATATCCTAACTCGAGAATGCAATGAGAATGAGGAAATGTAGGAAAGAAGCAGTCAAACTTGTAAGATATTCTATTGTGACCAGAAACTTCATTAGTTTCGTCATGACGTACGAGTATCTTTATGCATTTTTTGTTACAAATTAGCTTTTGCGTACGCGTGCTGAGATTTCCAATTTTCAGTGTTACATAATTACTATAGTCTTGAAGATAATTGAAATTCCACCGTGCTTTTAGTCGGAGTAAAGATGATGTTCCGTGGAAGTGTTATTGTCTAATTTTTTTAAATGTTTTCTGCATAGTTAAAATAAATAACGACGAAAATATGCTCATTCACGTTGCCTTATTGTTATAGCTGTCAAATGAAACTTGGTGCTCGCGACGTCAACCTACTAACGTAACTCTACTACTTTGTTCAGACAATCATTTGAATAACATTATATTTAATTTCGCTCTTCAAATAAGTTCAGATAAAAAGAATAACATGCTCATGACATCAAAAAGCACGTTGCCAATATTGCACAACGGATGCCTTAAAAAAACGTAGTTTCAAGTAATGGAGTTATTGTATTTGCAGTACGCAAATTCGATCAGTGGTAGCCTTGCATTCTAATATTTGGATTTAGTTTTCATTGGAACTTGTAAAATGCATCGTATAAAAATATAAAAAGCAGATAACATTTTGATTTTTCATAGTTTAAGTAAAAAAACATATTACAATTCAATTAAAAATCATGGATGTAAAAAGTAAATTTTGTTCATTCTAACATCTCTAATAATTAAAAAAGGACAAAAAGTCTCCAAAAATTTATCAAAATTCAATTTCGAAATTATTACTACATTTACCCTGAAGAAACATGCAATAGTCTCTAACCATCATTTTATATTTTTCATCAAGCTTCTGCTCAAATGTTCTTAGCGTAACGAAAGCATCGAATGACGGTGAATCGGACCACATTTTCATTGCTTATCCTAAACTTAGTTTCCCCATAAAAGAAATCCAATAAAAGTCCTAAAAACACAATACAAGTGGCAAGCCATTGCCTGGGAAGTAATATATTGCCAAAAAAACGACGAGGCTAATACTGTGAAGCATTTTCTTGTAGTTGTAGCAATGGGACAAGTGAAAGGACTAAACTCAGAGTCAGTCAAGAAAATAAAGTACCGTGCCAAAGCTCCACATATCGATAGAGTAGAAATATACTGCAGAGCTACTCGATGCTTTTGAAGAAACTTGAGGAATCTTACGAATTTGTCCGTGTGAATAACAATTTGCCAGGTCCTGGGTCTTTGTGCGTCATTTTCACTTAACATTCCTGGCTCACCTCCGATAAAGCAATCCTATAACTACCCCCTTATCCTCGCGCGCTCGTAATACAGACGATACTGAATACCGAATGAAACTTGTCAAAGCTGAAAAACTTAGCATGTACTTAAACGACTAGATCACTGGTGACAGTTCCTTAATCATTTTCCTTTAATGGGATATTTCTGTACATAGGAAGAAATGCTTTAGTAACTGCAAGTTACACGATATATCGTATTTCTTGAGCGTATGACTGTAAAAAACATTGTTTCATATGAGTTATCAGTTTCACATATACTTGTGAGATTAACGATAAAAATCAAGTACTCCGATGAACATATTGCAATGCCTTATTGAAGTGCATTACTAGCAGATACGTAATCGCGCATATTCGCGTTGCTTGGCATCACAGTCTCGAACAACAATTTGTCGAACATACAGTAGAGGAAGCATTGTATAAACACGAAGCTCAGCGTGTAGGTAAATTCGCTATTGATGTATTTATCTCTAGTGATGCTCTCTTAAAGGGTGGCAAAGTGCGAGTAACAAACGGAGATGCCCGCATGAAATTAAGTGCAAACTCTTTCAGGCTTGGCTACATCACTGGGCAAATCGGTGAATCGAAAAATCTGTGTAGTTTTCACCAATTTGACAGCTCTATTTGCTCTGTCTGACGTTTGACAATGATATTCTCATTTACAATGCACACCTGGATGAATATAATGTAATAGAGCTCAGCGTTTCTTACCAAGTTACAAGAGATTTTGCGTATACCCACTTGCCTATGAATCACTTACAAAGTTCCACTTAAACGCGAGACATTCATGATATACAGAAGACAAAGAGTACATGGTTCATTAAATTTCGCATGAACATAGTTTCACAAAGCGAAGAAGAAACTAAAACTACAATTAGTCACATGCACGCTCTTTTTGAAGCCGAACATGGATTCAGAACAGCGATGGAATGGAAGAAAAAAAAGAAGCGAAAAAGCATCTAAGACGATGCCAGAAAGCTGGCAGAACGCGCGCAGTTCTTAAAATATTATTACTGCTTCGTAGCTGATAAAGCGCTACATTCTGCTTGATTTTCGTTTAGCTTCGCGAGCTTCTACTTTTTTTGATAGCATGCCGTTCAATGACTTTTTTTACAAAGTGATCTGATTAATACCATGCCAAAATTTCATAAATAATATAGTTTTCCTTAAAAAAAAACATCAATCTAAAATTTACAGTTCAAGTTGTGAGAATACATCTGATGTTTGTACTTTAAAATTAATTACTGGAGTTATAGCAGTATATTTCAGGGCGTTCAATTTGCTTATGATATTTTGTAAACTCTATAAAACTGTGGGTTTTCACGCAAATGGCTCATGTAATAAATTGGAAAATTAAAGTTTTTATCTCTTTTAAAGATTGACAAGATGAAAGAAATATATGCCCAGGAATATATAAATCTATGTTTAAGTATTTTTATATGTAATTTTTAATGGACATTACACTTAAATAATTACATTATAAACAAGAAGATAAAATAATGACGAAGTAAGAAAGTATATGAGGTTTAGTTGAATTTTATTTATAATTGGTTTTGCTTTTTGCATCATCATAAATTGCACCATCAAAACATCACAATTTTGTTTACATTTATAGTAAGCTTCTAATTTATCATTAAAGAAATAAGATACATCTGATTTTCAACCAATTTAAATTCATTTCAGTAATTTTTACAATACACTTGATAGACTGATAAAAACTTATAACTAGAGAATTTTGAAAAATATATAGATCAACTACGTTCATTGATTTTTTAAATAGTTATTACTGTGTAAACATGTGAAGTACTTATGAGATGTGATACTAATGTAACGGCAGGCCGTAATTTAGTTTTTTTTAATCCTAATTAATTAATAGAAATTAATATTAAGAACAGAATGAGGACCTTCAAGATATATAAAAAGAGAGGGATTGAGAGTCGTTACTAAGATTTCCCATGGTGTTAATATAAAACCTGATAGCGGACCAAACCTGTGTACCCGGCCTTACAATCGCTGCATTATCCTGCTTTGTCCCACTCGCATGTGTTGACAGGAGCCTACGATCATCGCGTATATATCTTGAAGCACTATCCCGCCGATAAGAAGAGGGGCCATAAAAATATAATCTATCTTTTTTTCCCACCGAATTTTCTCTTTGTAAGAAACTTTGCAATTTACCATTGAATAAAATAAAATTGTTGAAATCGGGAAATTTTTCTTATTAATAGATAATTATGGCTTCCTCAGACCTATAATTGAGTTCTCATTCTGAAAATCATTTTAGTCGAAAAATAAAGAAAACACTAAGAGAATATCCGTAATATTAAATAGGTTTAATCAATTTTGTAAGTTACTATTATAGGAAATCAAATAGTGATTGTTCTAATAACCATCGTACCATAACGCGCAACTTTTTAAGATATATTATTTATCCAGTTCAACCCGTGCAAGAACAAAATAACTAATAAATAATTTCATGTTTTAAGCGAAAACAAAAGTAAAACCGTAATGATCAATTACAAATACCACCCATATAGAAAATTTTAATCGTCATCATGTCATCAGCCGGAAGAAGGGGGTTTCCACCCAACCACCCACTGCTTATAAAAAGCTCTGTACAAGACTGCGGGACCAGTGCTGGAAGAAAGACAGAAGGATAGAAAATTTTTTTAGAAGAATCAGTAGTGTAAAGTAGTACCAAGAAGTTAACCAAGAAGTCAGCCAAGTGCATCCAGAATTGAGAGAGAGATAGAGGTTAAAGAACAGAGAGTACGCGGCCTAAATATAAAGCAGTCTAATAAAATAAAAAGTAAGTGAATTTTGTATCTGGTTATCTTTTCTCTTCTTTCTTTCCTTTTTTTTATTTTTCTCTAGTTCCCCTTTCTTTCTGGAAATTCGTTAAGCGTGAGTCTGGCGAATTTCCCTTAGAGTCCTTTAAGATGACATTAAGTGAGAGTCTGGTATGTTCAATAATAACATTCAGTTATTATTTCCCGGTTAGTAGTTTCTCTGCGCAACAATATTGCTCGTCCCGGCTTATGCGTTGCACGCAAGCCAAATCAGAGCAGCCCTGAACTTACGCATACTCCAAGCGTACCTGAGAGTGACCCCGACGTCACACTAAATAAGATGATTAATTATTATTTTCCTATTATATAAATTGTACATTTTCCAAGTGTATAAAAATACCTAATAATACTATTTCTCAACATCATAGCTTACAAAATGAGCTGAACCACAAGACTCACATAAAAAGACTTTTTATAATAAACAGTAATGAATAACAAAGTTTTTTTAAAAGCATCAATCTGCCTTGCGATGGAGTAAACATTAATTACTCAAAAATAAAAAAAAAGAGTAATGATGTCAGGGAAATTCGTAGACGGCATGATGCAAAAAATTTGAATTAAATCATCTAAATTGAATCTAAATAGTGTACTCCAGTTATTTGGCTAGAGTTTTTTTCACAGCTTGAGTTTTTCCATAAAAGGCATCCAAAAAAAGTCCTAAAAACACAATACCAGTAGCAAGCCATTGCCTGGGAAGTAATGTATTGCCAAAGAACATGACAGAGGCTAATACTGTGAAGCATTTTCTTGTAGTTGTAGCAATGGAACAAGCTAAAGGACCAAACTCAGAGACAGTCAAGAAAATAAAGTATTGTCCCAAAGCTCCACATATTGATAGAGTAGAGATATGCTGCAATGCTGCTGGATGCCTTTGAAGGAACTTGAGGAAGCTTACAAATTCGCCAGTAAGTATAATAACAGCACCACTAATGACAGCAGACCATACATTCATATTAAACATCATGTGTCCAGACTTTGATTTATACTCTGTTCGCATTCTGTCTTGTACAGCACTGGTAAGACCATCCATTGTCAATGACAGCAGCAAAAGAGCTTGACCAAAGCTTTCTCCTTCAATTTTTTTTATAGAAACTTTATCTTTGTACATAAACAGAACTACTCCAGCAACAACAAGTGTCACAAAAAAGTATTTCTTTAATGGATAGCTCTGCAAAATACTTAATATATTAGTATCTCTTAAACATATGCTCAGATTTTATCTTGATTTTAGTTTCATACCTTTCCAGCTAGTAATACTCCAAGTATCATAACCGGAATAGGCTTGCCAGCTTTACCAATCACCTGCGTTGGATAATTGACAAACTGCAATGCCATGTTACTGCAGACCATGGCTAACAAGTATGTGAGAGCACATACACTATAGTACAAATTCTTGGTGGTATCTTCACCCTGTTTCATCACAGTCATGAGCAGTACTTTGGCGAACAAACAGTTGACAACACATTGTACAAAGACTAAGGCAAACATGTAAGTAAACTTCTCATTAACATCACCATCAACATATTCGCCCCTGGTAACTTTCTCCTGCAGAATAGCAAAATAAGAGTAACAGACGAATATGCCGGCTACGCAAAATAAAAATTTGCCGGCTCCTGGATGTGTGTGGGTCATTTTCACTTAACTTTCTTGGCTCATCTGCGATAACACAATCCTTTCTTACCCTGGAGCTCGTAACACACGATTGACACGATACTTCCGCTGTCTGCGTGTTTACAGCGATCAGCATCCACGTTGACACACGTGAATGGGTAACTTTAGAGCATGGCTTATGATAGAACAGAAGTTGAATCTGTCAAATCGACCTTTCTTCAAGACTACTAGAGACATCTACCGTTAAAGTAGCGCGACTACAATATGAACATATATGAGATGTCCACGCAATGGAAATAAGTGTGGAGTGTGTGGTTACTGTACTACAATAGATGAGTAAGTCAATGGACTCGATGGCGTGCTGTAGGTGTGTCCGAAACTGGTCCGAAAACATTCGCACAATAATCCGTTCAAGTTGTTTTTAATTTAGAAGTGGTCATTTCTTAGCTGGTAGCATTGAGTAAGTGTATTTTACAATATTTAATGATTGATATTTTTACTGCATCTGGTGTATTTGGTTTCTTTTCGAAATTGAAGCAATAGTCCATCGGAAGGTTACCCATAGTATAGTATATTTGTATACAAACTGCTTTTGGGTGTTGCCAGTATGACACATTATATCTTTAATTAACAACTTCGAAGAAAATGTGTGGAACTTGGTTGATTTTTGTTTTCGAATTCTTACTCACTTGTAAAGCAAAAAACAATTTCTATTTTGTGACTTTTCTTAGAAATTAAAACTGTTTAATTTTTTTTTCAGTAACTTTAATTTACATATTCTGGTATCGAATAAACTTATGTGTTTCTGTTTGTTATACTCATTTAAATTAATATTATCATGAACTAAACATGTTTGTTTCAGTTAAATAAAGAAAAAGAAAAAATGAATTACGGATATGGAAAGAAATCACCTAGCGTAGGTACACCATCTGTATACTCACATGTTACCACTCGTAGTAAGTCTATGAAGAGTGTAAAGATACCATGGTACCAAAAAAGATTGCTTACAAATGCATTCACACTGATGGATATTCAAAAAGGAGCAATGGTTATTGCTATTTACTCACTCGTAAGTTGATAGATTCAATGATAATTATTACATCTTACTGTTTATAAAAATAACATAAATTTCTTGTTTATTATCAGTGCTTAGCTATATTTACAATTATTACTTCAACCTTTGACATTTATTGCTTATCACAAGCAGCTCCAGGCTCAATACACTATGGATATTATTTAATATCTTATGAATTTGTCTATGTGGGAAATCCACATGGTAGGTTGCACTAATTATTATTGTAATCAACTCTTCATACATGACTGCCACAGTAATTCATAATAATTACTTTTTTCAGTACGGAATTGTTTGATTGTATTTGCATTGTTCTCAATACTTATGGGTATTGTAATAGTTGGAACATCAATTATTTTGATCAAAAGTTTAAGAAAGGAATATGAAAAAAGAATGATGCCATGGTTGTACAGTTTCGCTGTATTCACAATTTTCAGGCTATTTGCTTTCGTATTCTACAGTGTTGTCAATGATTTGATTTTTGCTTACAATGTAACAATGTGTCTTCTATGGACTGTTTTTATAATATTATCAATGTATGGTTGGCTTGTTGTGTATTCCTTATATATTGAACTCAGCAATTTGACTAGATTAGAAGATCTCGCACATTTGAGAGTAAGTCTTAAAAAAGCTTTTTACGTCATTTTAATTTCTAGAATTAGTTTTGTTTACTATATTTCAAATGGCTAATTATTATTTGAAAATTATTGTTTACATTTTAGGAACAAATATATGTGAAAGCTTATTGATACCTGCAAAATAACTTTTCTTTTTTGTTGTGTAATTTATAATTTAAATTAAATAGTTAATTATTTCTTTTGCAGATTGGAACCATGCAATCTTTGAATGCTTCAACTACTCACTCTATCGCGGGATCGCGTCCCACGACACCCCATAGTACTGTCTCTACCATGCCAGTTTAATTATAGTCGTATGGGAAAGACTGGATATCCAGGTGAGTTTCTTACTAGATTGATATGAATTTCTAGATTTCACATAAATTAAAATGGATTTTTAGGAGGATTTTATGTACAATCTAGGTGGATTTTTTTAAATCCAAGTGGATTTTCGGACAATTCTAGAAGTATTTTTTTTGAAGATCCAAGTGGATTTCAACAAATTGCTTAGCAATTAAAAAAAGAATTTTTATACAAAGTATTTATTTAATAAAACTGAATCTCATCAAAGTATTTTGACGATTGTGTACAAAATTATAATATTACTCATATCGCTACACGCGTTCAATTATATTAAATATAATTAAATTTAATATCGATATGAAGCTGCAACGATATTATACCTACGAATTAAGTGGCCTTATATAATTATTACGTTAGAAATATATTTGACTTAGTTCCGTCCATGAAAGTGATATATAAATAATGATTAATTTTATAAAAATATGCTTGTAATAAAATTTTTGAACGACATATCTATTTGTTGTGTATTTTATTTCAGACCGTTTGTTTCATGTGAATATTATGCTTTGATTAGTCAGTGTCAAAACCAAAATCAAACTTACATCTTATATGGAGCTTTTTCTAGATCGTCTGACAAAAACATTTCTCATCTGTCCATTTTTCCTCTGTCCATCAGCAGCGGGTCTCGGTGAATTATTTGCACTGGTATTTTCAACACTGGCAACCGTCTCGAGAGACATCCTTGCCATGGTATCGTAATCCTCTTCAAAGTCATAAGGAATTTCAGGATACATAGTCTCGAACGGTTGCGTTGGTACCGCTTTAGAATCTCGCGCACTCGCCGGGTTCGGTACGACTGTATAAACTGATGCGCAAACAAATAGAATGGCTTTGCCTAACAGATTTAGTAGAAATATTCCCAATGCCATGAACACATGAGACACGAGACTCAAGCTACCGGATACCAAGTACATCGCGATTGCTAAACACATTTGTGGCAATTTTACACGACGAAATTTTGAAAAAAAAAAAAACAAGATTTTGGGGTTACTAAGTGGCAAAAGAAGTTGCTATAAACAAGTGGTGCAAGGGAATAAAACAATACTACGTGCGAAAGTCTATCAACTGTATTTGTTTGGTTATTGCTGAAAATAATTATTGAGATAAAATAGAATAGAAGATACGGATAACGAAAGAAAAAATTTTATTGAAAAAATAAATTTATTTACTTTAACTTTTCTTTGTCGCATATACGAAAAGATAATTTGGTTATTCTGATTTCTAAATGACATGTGTAAATTCGTAGGTTCATAGAAACACTTTGCAATATTGGTGGAAAACTCGGAACTTGAAAAAACTACGCCATAAATTATAAAGTAAAGTAGTTGAAAATTTTAGAAATCCCAATATGTAGTGAAAATATGTATATTTTATATTTACATAGATCTACATTTATTCAAATTACCGTTATAAACTTATATTTTGTGTAATACATGATTAATAATGTTTACAATTCATATATGTTCATAAGTAAAATAGAAGCTGCGAGCACCTCGTATCTATTCCTTATAAACCAATAATCAGTTGGATGACGAGTAACCGATATCAAAGTAATTAAAAATTTGCGTCTGTATTCACATTGTCGAACTAGCTATTTTAATTTGTTCGACGGTTTTGGAATCTGAGGTAGTTATAATGTGTAATGATACTAAACACGGTTGTAAATTTAGATATAGTCTTATATCTATCTGGTTTCTTTTTATAACTTTTATAATGTCACAATATATTTTTTGTCGCGTCAACTTATCGTCAACGTGACATAACAACAATATAATCATTCTTATTTTCAATACAAAAAGCAAAAGAAATTTTCGAAATTTCATACAAAAAAATATTTACAGTCACGCCCAAGCGCTTTAACATATCGACTTAAACATTAGTCCTTAAAAAAAATGTATTCTTTTGTACGCTAAAGCATGTCACTTGAACACCGTGGACACTAAATGCCATAAGAACCAAAAGCCGAAAGTTGTGACCAATCCTTTGACGATTTGGTGCATCCAGTAGAGTCTGCAAAATAATGAAATGCATACGTCAATCGATATCCCATGAAAAGCATCTAAGCAGAGACTAGACGAAAAAAAAAAAGTATCGTACTTTTGCCATTTCTTCTTGCTGGCTTCCAAAGTTTTCAGGTCATCCTTAAACAAATAAACCCGGATACCCTTGACATAGTTTTTAAAATACTCGTGCCAGTCGAAGTTTTGCATGGTGAAGTAGAACATCTGTCGGTCTCGCGGATCCATTCGCGTCCACATGTCTTGTACGTTGTTATTCGTGAATTCCCACTGGTTTGTGCTGAAGTAAGAGATGACGCCAATGAACTTGTGAATCTTTTCGTACATCTTCAGCAACCTGATGAATCGGTGAGTACAGAGATTACTTCGATGCCCACTGAATTCGATGAGGGTCACTTACCTTGGCTTCCGTCTTAAAAATATTGTAAAGGTGTCGATTATGAAGGCAGGCACGAGATGAAGGAAAACGACGTAGACGGAATTGACGAATTTACTTTTGTTCACGTTAAACGACACGTACCAACAGGCATCGCTCATCGGGTACTCGTTTGCGTACTTTGTGTTGATGACCTTGAAGTCTTGCCAGGTTACTGGAGCCTCACAGGCCGATACGAAATTGTATATCAGCATCTCTTCATCCCTTCTAAAACACTCAATTGGAAATGTATTATTTGTATTTTTTAATTTTCAATTGCATTTTTTTCACGTAAATTTCGATCTCTTTTATTCATTCCAATAAATTATTTTGAAAATGGACATTCATTAGTTTTTATTTATTTTGTTTTGAACGAACCTGGCAGTTTGCTGTGCTACGTCCCACGCACTGGCTATCAAGGCATTGACTGTGAGATCAACCGGTACGATATTGGCATTGATTTCGGGATTGCAGTGCATCGTGCGTAGTAAACCCGTGGATACCCCGGCTGCTATTCCCGTTGGCCCGTAAAAGTTATCAATCCAGCCAGGAATCGGCTCGAAAGCTGTTGATATAACTGAAATAGGAGCGTTGTTCTAGTTTACGATAAAATTTGAATTGATTAAAATAACTATATACTGTTTTAAGACGATAATTGTCAAGAAAAAGTTAACACGTAGCTTCATAAATGAATCGTGATAGCGACAGTTTGCACGAGCGATATAGCGTATAACAGGCGAGAAAGTTATGGATCTATAAAATAATGTGAATCTAGCGAGTTTTATTGAACGTCTCTTATATGAATAATATCCCACTTACCAATTCCAGGCCTAAAAATGCCCATGGGCAAACTCTTGTTTCTGCACCTAATGAGGTCCTCGGCAATCGCCTTGGTGAAGGCGTACGTGTTTGGCCACGGTGAAATTATCCTAAACCCCAGCCACAGTTAAGTTTTACATCGGACAAAGAACATCGCAGATCGACAATAATTACGGGCAAGAGAATTACCTGGGACAAATCTCATTGACGGTCTCCTCGGGTAAACAATTCAAGAGGCTGAGTAGCTCCTCGTTTTTAATTGGATAATCGTAGAACTTTTCGCTGATCTCGTGCGATATGCAGTTCGCGTATGCCGTCGAGACGTGGATGAAAGCCTGGAAGTGAATCATCGCGGTAACGTTTAAAAATGACAGTATTCAAGGACTTTCCGTGTGTACTCTCGTCACCTATCTTGCGAAACTTATTTTTGGTGTTTGAACGGAATTTGATTTACGAAATCTCCTAGTCGCGAAGTTTGCCTTTCGCCGTGAATTTACCGAGTCCCTCTAACTGCTCATTTCTCGAATAGCGAAAATTCTCGAAAGAATTATGACAATATAATTGACATGCATAGCTCGCATGACTTTTTCTCACCTTCAATTTTCCCATGTCTTTGCACAAGTCGATGACATCAGCGGTACTTTGGATGTTGATCGCCGTCGCGAGTTTTAGTTTCTCATCGAAGCGGACTGTCGCCGCTACGTGAAATACTATCGATACCTGTGAATTTGCATATTTTTGCTTTTGGATGTATTGCAGTTAGAGAAAACTTTTTAAACGATGTGATAATTTATTTTATTTTTATCCTCTAATTTGGTAATAGTCCGCAAATTAAAAAAAAAAAAAGAAAAGAAAAAGAGGAAAAAGAACTTCTCTTTGGCTCGTCTCGGAGAAAGCTTATTGTTTCCGTTGCGACGCAAGGCCGGCGTGTAAAAAAGAATCGTTATTGAAAAATAATTGTTGCAAAAAGAGAAAAAGAAAGACCACGAATTACAATGCGCGATGAGTGCTCGCGTTACTTAATAATTGCGCCACACTTACGTCGCGCATCAGCAAATCTCTGTCGGGCGTAGAAAGTCCCAGGCCTTGGATACTGCAGTCGCCGGCGACGGCCACGACTTTGTGATGAAATTTCGGCATAGCCTCTCTCAGACGCTCGTATATCTGTGTGGACGAGTTATGAGTTATCTTTTAACTTGTGCCTACTCACTGCCTTCTAGCAGGTAGGAAGCGGATGTTTTGATGATGACCTAATTATAGATATATATGTTCTTTTCGACACTCGATTGAAATTAAGAGTTTTGACATATGCTTAATAACGAAATAGCAATTAAATGATTAAACGTTTGAGATATGCATCTGCTAGAAGATTTTCAAGATGTTGGCCACATATCGCGATGCAAATGACGTCATTTTTAATGGACAAACGTACATAAATGATACTGTTTGCAGAGCCGAAGTATATGAACACGAATAAATCACGCAATTAGTCATTGCTAATGTCAAATTCTTTTTTTCTCTGGGACAAACTCATTGACTAGATAAAATTCGCGTATAAATTATCAGCGCCATGAATTTCTCGGTAATAATCGTCAACCCGATTATGGCAGAGCTCGTGTCAATCTTGAATCATACGCGCCGTAATTGCAGGTTCTACATCTGTACGTAATTTCAGATGTAAAATTGGATAGGAAGTTGGACTATTTGCAATTACAAAAAAGGAATGGCAAATTCTCCATGTTTTTTCCTTTCTCGAGATAATGTCCCTCCGAAGAGCACACACTTCGAGAGAGAAAGAGAGAGAGAGAGAGTGCGCGCGCGCCATTATGCAAAGGATGGTCAATAGACGCACTCACTGGATCTTTGAACATCTCCTCCATTCTCGTCTCGACGCTCTTGTCCTTCTTTGGGCGCACCAAGAGGTAGATGCATTTCAGATCCGAGCAGCTACGCAGCAGCTTCTCTAACAGGATTTTCCCGAGGAAGCCCGTTCCGCCTGGCAGCGAGAAATATCGCAATTACCGATCGCGCGTCGATGATATACAAATTAAGAGATCAATCGACGATTGCAGCTGTCGCGATGAATTACCTGTGATGAAAATTGATTGATTGGCGTAGAACTGCTGGAGGGGAGTGTGCTTGGTAATGATGCGTCCACTCGCGTCGAACGTCTCGGTGATCTGATTGTTATTGTTGGACTCGTTTGCGATTGACTGCTTGGCATACCGGCACTCACCCTGCGAAGAAATTAACGCAAGCCTTCAAATTGCGACATTCGCAACTTTCGAAGTATCCTTCGAGGGGCTCCAAGAGAGCCTGGGATAAAGCGCGCGGTTATTATCGCCTATTTGCGAATCGTAATCTTTTTACGATTGCAAAAAGATAATCGCTCTCGCGCTCTGGCGAAACTTTCGATGAATTTCCGTCTGTCTCGCGAAAAGTTAAGGCACGCGTTCCCGAGGACACCTTTGTTCAAATGCCGCGTTACGTCAGCGCGCGACTTTTTACGCTCGACGCTCTCGATCGCGTCAATCTTCTCAAATATCTTCATTCGGATTCGTTCGAATGATTCACGTATGGACAAAAAAAAAAGACCGATGCGTGCTTCTGTCTGAAAGAACAAGATTGGGTTCGTCGAACTCTCGCATTATATGCGTACACCGGACGTTTAATGATGCAGTTTTGCTCTCCAGACGAAACCAGCTCGATTGAGTATGTTGGTCTTGGTGTCAAGGACGCAGATGGGATTTTCGCGCGGTGAATACCGATTTTGCGCCTGCGTGTGTGCATGCGTTTTTTTTCGGAATTTTACTTTCGTTCTGTGAGAATATTCATTCGCGTGTGTTTCGCCGATTTTTATGGTAATTGTCCGTAAATCGCAAGGACGTTATGGATTCATAAGTGGATCCTTGCGCATCCTTATACGTACAAAGTTCCGAGCTGCAATTCGAATGCCAACCGTGTAAAAAGTTCAGCGTTGCCCGAAACTGTCTCGAAAAGTAATTGGTCAAAGTCTTTCTTTTGTATCCCCATTAAAGATAAGGAAAAACCGTTCGAAGCCTGCAACTGTTCACCTAATCCGATTGATTGCTTGGAGCGTCGGCGGTGTCTTCAATAATTTCTTTCTTCTTTTCCAAATCGCCTACACGAAAGGTCGTTAGAATGGGAACGAGAATCATAAAAGAGTAATTCAAACGGCAACGTCAGAAGACCAAATGGTCTAGAGGAGTGAGAGGCCAGGTTTTTTACAGTTAGGTTTACTCCGACCATAGTTACATTGCGAATCGCAATGAACTGCTGCCCGCGTAACGGATTCATCCGCTTTCTTGACATATTTTCGCGCATACACTTGAGCGTGCGCCACTGACCTATTTTTTTCTTGAAAATCAGAATGATTCCGGCGTTGATGTTGCAAAAGGCGTTTTTCTAGTTTACTCTCGATTGCGAGCCCGATTGTCGCTTCCGAATAACAGAAACCTTATCGCCGTAACACCGCCGGCGCTGTTAATTTTACGATCTCGAGATTAATGGCTTTGATAATTTTTCAGCCTCGTTGTCAATTGCAGCGCCGTATTCACTACCATAATCTCGTTCTGCGCGATCGAGTTCTCCGAACGTCGCGGAAAATCGTCCGAAGTCATGGAATAATTTCCAGTAGCGTTATTGTCTAACGCAATCTTGAGTAACAACGCAACCATCCGATCACTGTAACCTGTATTATCGGTACATTCCCATCTACGCAAAAGAAACTCCTCAGTGATGGTGATTAGGTGTATCGAAGACAGCTTCGAATCCCCATCCACTCGAAAAACCTGATGTAAAAAAAAATGAGCCGAAGAAAATTTTCCAAAGTACAACGGCTCGATTTATTTCCAAGAGCCTATCTAATCCCGAACCAGATAATCATCGTCGTCGTTCGTCTCACGGCGTGATGCTACATTTTCTTTCCCCGTTACGAGCCCAACCCGAAAAATTGTCTCCTCGACAGGATGCACCGATTTCGTGGAAGACCAGCTCGGAACGCCTGCCGGTCGGGTTCTAACGCGCGTCAAATCGAAGCCGTTGCGTCGGAGCTGCGAAGATGCCCACGGCCGGAACATCGTGTGGAGATTTAAAAAAAAAAATTTTTATGCAACCATTTTCCGCCGAGGGAGAGACCCGGGCGCGGTCCCGTAACGCTCGCGAAGCAGCTTTTCTCAGCTTCCCAATGACGCTCGCGTGTTGCGCTCAGCCGGTGCGTCCGTGCAATTGTCTTCTCTCTTTTTCGATCGTGGATAGGACGAGGAGAATCGATTGCCCAACGACGCACAATCTGGAGCTAAACTTCTGCCGTGCGATTTTGTAACGCGAACTAGACCGTCGATGAAATGTCATAATCCGTGACGAAAAAACTGATCCATTGAGTAATGTTTATTCATTAATATGTAACGTGTTGCGCCTAGTGCAAGCTTTGGCGCGGCTCGCTGCACGCGTACGTTCTTTTTTTACTTTTCGCGCTTCTCGAAAAGAAGCGCGCGCGACGCAATTTTCACTTTATGTAACGCGCGCCGAGACCCAACGAGTTTTTGGCTAGAAAGAGAAATTTCACTGCTCTTTCTCTCACGCGAGCGCGTAGCTCCTCTCGCCTCATGGCAATCAATTTGCAAATTCAAAACCGCGAAAGGCGGCTTGCTCAACGTCGGGAGATATTCCCATCTCTCGTAATAATTGATCCGCGTAGCTTGAATGAACGTCAGCTGTGTAATGGACTCGCGAGCGCGGATTACAATTGAGCTAGCTAGTGGGCGTAAATGCGCGCGTCTGTGTTCGCGCAGTCCAATGGTTTTTTGACGTCTTCATATTCGTGATGGTACCTGCATAAAACTAGGCCGATATTATTATTTAGCCGGGAATAGCATGCTCGAGAGGTACGACATTTGGATATCAAGACACTTTGATATAAGATGCTCGATCGAGAGGCAAGTGGAATAAACACGCATAACCGAATGTTTACCAAAGCCGATCACACTCAACAATGTACATTATGTATATATCGCAACGCGCGCACTCGCGAACGAAACGGTTCATGGTTCGTCTCAAATGGAAAATTCAGTAACAGTTACTCACACTGGCAGGTGGAAGATCGATGTCCAGCAACATATCTGCTTCTAGCTTGCAAGTCTACGACAAGTTCGAATTAAGAAAAAAAAAAAAAAAAAAGCGCAAAGAAGTGTAAAAGAAAACGTTGGAAGAGCAGCCGAGTCCTAACGAAGAAGAAGAGAAGGACCGTTCTCGTGAGTTTCGGTACTACACTACCGTCTGCATCTTGGCACACGACGCGTTCGGGAGTTGGCGCACGAGTGACTAAAGCTGCTCGAGTGAAAACTGAACACTGCGGCCTAAGGTGCCAGGTGAGCGCGCGCGTTTGCCCTCGCGCTTGGTAGACATACTGTATTATATCCCCTCAACGCACACTTTTAATTCATTTCTACCTGCCCGATCTCTCTCTCTCTCTCTCTCTCTCTCTTGCTCTCGCTCTCACGTCGAGGAAAATTGAAAAAAGTCACTTCGAGAACATTGTCGCGAGCTCTCCTTTTCAATTTCACTTTCGATAAACATTTTTGCATTCCCGCGATTGTACACACAAACGGCAGAACTTGCGCAATTTCGCTTTGCTTTGGTGTGCGCAAGACGCTGCACTGTCTCGCAGATGTAACGAGAAATTACGTTCTCTTGTTTTGAGACGCGGTGACGTCGTTTCCCGATTTGTTTTTCCTTCGTTGCCGCTTGCTTTGACAATTTTTAAACAAATTCCAAGTCGACGCACACGCGCTGGAATCGATTCGATTTATTCGTACGTAGCGCGAAATCAAAGTCATTTCGGCGTTTGCAATTGCATCCCGCGATGTTCGCAACGCCGCGTGTTCTGAATGCTAGTGCGAATGGCGGTGGTGTCGATTGGCACGCAACAAAGTGGTCAAAATGCGCGATGATCGCTGATGATAGTTGATACGATTAGTTTTACGTCAGAAATGCAGTGTACACTGATAAAGCGGCGACATTATATCATTGACAATTCAATTTGTAAAATTTCCCAATTCCAATTGGTATGCGGATGCGAAGGAAACGCATCGACTTCTGTCGGTATAATTTCCTTGAAAAGTGTGTCGCCTGTTAACAGAATTGCAACATTTCTTTATCACGGGTATATCCACGTTGAGATCCCAATCCGATCAATTTCGGTTCCTAGTAGAACATTGCTTTATAAATTATGGAGCATCGACCCTATAACGGTTGTTCTGCTTGCTCGAGATTAAGGCCTAAGATCAATCAGATTTTGTCAACCGCGTGGCCAACCACTCTGCACTTCGATATTTTCAAGTGACGCACACTTTGTACGTGTCGAGTCTAATTCACCTCTTTTTCTCTTTATTGTTCTTTTCCGTCTGTCTCGCGGTCGGGTTGTCGGCGGTCATTCTCCACGCGGCATGCTAGCACGCGGCGCTGTTTAATCTCAAATATTAGCACTCGCGCGCGGGAATTCTGCCGAAGCGATAAGGCGTAGGCATTAGTTCTCGGAAACACCTGACTCAGGTGCAATTTTTTTTTCCGTTCCACTGTTTTTCCTCGGTCTCTATGCAAAATAGTTCCAGTTTATTCTTTGTGAAAATTACAATGGAACTAGTCCGAGCCGATAAACTTTCCGAATAACCAAAGATTTTTAATATGTAGGTTATAGTGCACGCTATACAGCTTACGTTTCACGACGATAATTCAGGACAACGAAGAATGCAGTTTTCATCCCCGCCAAAAAGAAAAGAAAAAAAACGCTTGAGTCACGCTTCTGATATTCGTTGACACATTTGATAGTGAGCTTATCAATGCACTCGATGTATACGATTAGTCCTCAAATTGAATAATTGAAATATTTGTTACTATGGTATACCAGAATTTACGTAAAAATAAAGTACATGCTCTGACGTGCCAATTCTTTTCCAAAGAATCATAAGCAGCAACTGCTTTGCATATCAGTGTGTTAACTGCCGTCATTGACAAGCCACGGTCCGAAGCTAAAAAGTAAATAAAGGCACGTTGAAACTTTTTGTTGTAGTGCTGTTTGTTGATAGACGAAAAGAAGCGCCCAATTAGCATCGGAGCTCACCTTTGAAAGTGTTAAAAGCGAAGAGCGAAGAGTGACCGTGTGACGGCGAATCAGCGCAAAAGTCATACGAGCATGCCTATACCCGTGGCAATTGATATTCAATACATAAAGGATCTTGCACGAATATAGCCTTGGCTCGCTGAATTTCTACATACGATGATCGACCGAGCGAATATCAATAACACCATCGAAATTTCTAGGCTTATCTTAGCAATGTGGGTCGACGCTACATTTGTTAAGCAGCAAATAAAAAAACAACGCTTGCGAAACATTGAATTGTTGCTTTGAAAAATTTATCATTGTAAAGCGTTCTAGAGCAAGTGGAGGAAATACGCGATTCGTAGTATTTTCGAAATGTAAAAGTTGCGTTTCCATGATATTCCACCTGACGATCAGTGGCAGAGAGACATCGCGAACACGGCAACTCGGTTGATGACAAACCATACACATACGTCGCAGGAAATACAAGCGTCAAAACACAACGCTAATGATCGCGGCAAACCGCCGCAATCGTCACCGCTGAAGGTATTGCAGCCATCGGCGAGGCGAAAAAAATCACGAGTCGAGAGCATCTTTCGCGTTCGAGAATTTAGCGGAACGCCCGCGACGGAGGAAAAAGTGGAGGCAAGTGGCTAATACAACGCATGGCCGTCCGAAAGGGAAATTGCATAATCATCGGCGGGGATAGAGGCTCGGCCGACGTAACGCTAAATCCGAAAATAATCGATCATCTAATGTCCTCGTAAAAGCAAGAAAGGAAGGGGGTGACTCGAATAGACCAAAAAAAGTTGCGCAATGCTAATTCTCACATCTCGGGCGCGCGTTATACAATTGTACGTCTCGCTCGCGGCTCAAGATGTATATATATATATATATATACACACGAGAAGAAAGAAAGTGTGCGCGCGGGCGCAGACTCACGGACATCGTCGCATCTAGCTCGTGTCGTTTCACAACGTGAAAGTTTAAAAGTCTCGCTCGTTTCGCTAGCGGTTACAATCTCGCGAACGTACGAGATAGCGAGGAAGCGATCGAAAACGCGCGCACGCGGGCTTCTATTATTATTGAAATAGCTTTCGGACGCTCGCCTATCTTCTCTCTCCCTCCCGTAGATTATTTCTTTGCGTCACTGTGTCCGTCGTTCTTCGTTTGCCGAATTTTTAATCTATCGTCGCGTATCGTCACGTTTATGTGGTCGAGCGAGAATCTCCAATCCATGATCGTGGACCAATTGGGCACTCACCCACGTACGTGCTTCTCTGAGATGCGCAGTGTCGCGCGCGAATAATTCAAGAGGTAATGATTGAAGATTACTGCCTTCCAATGAACGTGTATACCTATCCGTCTACGTTGTCACGTAATTAGACGTTCAAACGCTAATTTACTCGCGTCAATGCACGTAAATTGAAACATTCATTATATTTCTTGTGCACTTTAAGCTGCTGCTTGCTATCAGCAATTCCATGGGCAAATTTGATCTATTTGGTTCGATTTCGTAAAATTCCGAAATTAAAAAATAAAAACCCATTAAAGAAGAAGTTAATGATTGGTCATGACTTTTTTGAACTATATTTTGATTTATTTTCCGCTCGGAATTCCAACGTGCAAGCCTTGATAATCGTATCACTTCATGGAAATCCTCGTTGCTAATAAAACTACCAAATTAAGAATATGTTCCAGCGGAATTCATAGTATCACAGCTCTGCAAACATCAAAAGTTTGATTAGCAAATCAATAAAAATCCATGTTTTTACTTTTATCGATGTAAATTAAAACGGGATATCGAGATCATGCCATGCAATGGGAACACATAGTAGATTGATCATACATTTGAGAATGAAAAATTAAATGTAAGCTCTTAAGCTTACGGGCTTAATATATTACGAATGCGCTATGTAAACTTTTGATCAAGCAATGTCGAATTGATGGATATTCTTGCGTGGAATTGCTTATACTTCTTTCAGTTTATAGCTATTGAATTCTCTTCACGTCGCTGTGTATACGTAATTTTGCATACTATAATAGTCGTTTCAGTAACTATTTAGTGCCGCAAAATCACGTTAAAGTTATTTTCGTGGAATATATCATGCAGCTGCTTTTCTGAGAATATACAATTAGCACGACTTTCAAAAGATTTTAAAAATTGTTTATTTTCGATACATCATTCGTACTGTAAATGGTATTTTGGAGCGCGTAGTCATTATAGTAATTTTAATTTGGCGATAATATCAATTTTCTTGCATGTATTGAAAATTATCGTACAAGTTAACAATCAAGTTTTAAGCTAAATTAAAATTTCAAGTCCAAAGGTTCAAAGTATAGCATCTACAACCAATTTAATTGAATCCATCTTTCAAGTAGCATAACCATGGGTCGGTATTTTTATTATTACTTGCTATATCAAACAATTAAAACTACAATAGTTGTTATCCGACAAAAATTTTTTAGAAAAATACGATATTTCATTTTCTTAATTTTGTAAGTAAATCTTTTATTTATCGTAAAAATGATTTTATTGCTGATAAGTAATTATTATACTTTGTATATTGTATTTTAAGCTTGCTTATTATATAAATTATCAATTTGATACTCATAAGCAAATCACAAATTTCGTCTTTCGATAGTAATAAAATTTCATATTTTAAAATTATTGAATTTTCAAAAGATAAATATTAATTTGTTTATCCGTTTATTTCTACTTTTCATGGATAATATCATATTTTGTATCCTTTTGTGTAGTATTTTGATTACTCTGGTTTGAATCTCGCAGATTGTTATTAAGTTCAGCTAAATAATGACTGCTTGATTTTGTCAATAATTAACTTTTTGGTCAAAAGAGATGATTACAGGATGCGTTGTCAAATTTTATCTTAATGAAACTTCCTGTAAATGATAACTCATATTCATTAACAAGTATATTTAGCTCTATATTTTATACAGTTGTCACGTCATGGGAAAATACGAAAGCTTTAGTATCGATGAGCTCGACTTACTATATAAAAGGCCATCATTATCTCATTTTATTAGTTCTACTATAACTGTAGCATTTGCTGTATAACCATGGCAAAGTATTTGACTGCGTAAGTATTGCTATCCATAAGTTTACATTTCCTTACTTTTAAAATCACATCTTTAGCTTATTTTCTTTAATATAAAGATGCGTGTTTAGATCTTAGAATATTTTAGAGTTATATACGAGAATTATCTAAAAAGTTTCCGATCTGATGAAGATAAAAGTAATTTCGTAAATATTTGGATATATTGGCAATAAATTTAACTATATTCAGAAATACGTGTCAAGTTTGAAGTTGATCAGTTGATTGGAAAATTTTTTATAGCGTTTCAAAAAAAAAAGAAAAATTTACTATTGATTGCTATTTTAAATGGAGAAAAATTACAAATGTGACAGTAAAAATAATCGGCTCAAAAGTCTCGGGTCCGATGATATTTTATAAATATTTTGATATACACATTAAATTAAACTATATTTAGAAAGTCATGCCAAGTTTAAAGTTAATGGGTTAATTAGGATACTTTTTATAGCGTTTCAAATAAAAATTAACTTTATTAAATGTAATAGAAAGAAAATTTTGTTTTCAAATACTGCATAGTTTTTAATTAACTAATCAACTTTAAACTTGACATGCCTTTCTAAATGTAGTTAAAATTCCTGTTAATATATTCACATATTTACGAAATTATTTTTAGGCCAGAAACTTTACAGATATCTCTTGTATACATATACACATATTATTAATCTATTTAAATAAAAATTTTAAATGATAGCTGTATTTTAACATTTTATTGTTGAAGTTAACAAAATAAAATTCACTACATAGTAAAAAATGTTTTGTACGACGAAATGTAATTGTTAACTAAATACGTTGTAATACGAAATTTATAAAATAATGTTCAATTTAGATGTATCAATTAATATAAATTATTAATAGTATTTGATTAGATGAAAATAGCAATAATCACATAAGAAAGAATATTCGGATACATAACATGTAAATGCGAAAAAGCGTTTATTAAAAAAATTTGTATCTTATGCCTCGAAGTGAAATAAGCGACTACTAGAAAACATAGATTAACCAAAATTTCATTGTGCAATATGACAATATTAACCGTGACTGTATTGTTACAGAATTTTATTATATGCTGTAACGTTTTATTCATCGGTATTCGCAAAGAGCCTCCATGCACACCACGAGAAACCTCAACATGGAAATTCTGTAGAAAATAATGCTAATATTGAAGAATTTATTCAATTGGGATTCGACGCTGCGGAAGGATTGTACGAGAATCCTCAGGACGTAGCTGCTTACAGAAATATATTGCATGAAGCTAAACATAAGCATTGGAACTCCTTCGAGAAATTTGCAGAATATGTAGAATCCGCTGTTAAAAAAATTATGAAAAAGACCAACGATGACGTTTCTCGTATAAAACGTAGTTTTGATCTTGATAGTGACGACGAAGACCTCAAGAAGCTCTCTGCTGATAAATTTCTCAAATCGATTAGTCTGAGCATCCTGCTTAGAATAGCCCCTCCGGCTTACAAATCAGCTTTATTTGCAAAGTTTAAAGAAATTTATAACACAGAATACGAGAATTACATCGATTTTTTGTTAGAAACTGAATACGTTTTTAAAAAAGTGTTAGGAGATAATATCGATAAATACGCATCCCAAGTGCAAACTGACATATTTAATTTATTTGAAAATACAGATAACGATTTAGAAGCAGTAGAATGATAATTTATAAACAAAGATTATTATTAAAGTACTTGTAAAGGCATTTATAAAATATTTGATAAACGCAGTTTCTTATTGACCTACGAGTTTATTCACATCATCTAAATACATCGTATTATATAGTCAAATCGAAATCATAAAAAATAACAGATTTTATTAATAGACTAACTACAAATTTGAATATTCAAGAAAAAGGAAAATTCGATGAACGCTACTAATACCGTACATGTATTAAATTGCTGACAGCATATTATGTGATTATCACCAAAGTTTCCTCATGCAGATGTTGCATATATTCTATATATCCATCAACATCGTAAACAAAAAACTGCTTTCTCATTCGAATATTTGTATAAAGAAGCGAAATTAAAATTTCGAGAGAAACCAAAAAATGAATGATATATTTTATATCCAACCAACGGAAGGGCTGAAAAAAGAAAAATTCTTCATATTCTACTACGAAAAAAAGCTGCCAACGACATTAAAAACCAATGATGAAAAGAGTGTAGCGATATCACTACTTTTAGTGAGTGACGTTAGAGATGACAAGCATGCGCATAAAGCTCCTTGATTTGTTGGAGTGCCTGGACGGAAGCATTATTATCCCCGCAAAGTCGTCAAAAACCGTAATAAATTGATAGTGAACATTTTGAAAGTCAAGACTATTTTTTTATTTGAACAATTTATTAACAATTCATTTCGTAAGAGAGAAAAAAATGTATTTGCAAGAAAATTTCAAATGTTATCTTTATGGTATTATATCTTATGAAATATCTGTAATATATAATAATTTAGTAAGATTTATTTAAATATATTTGACATATAATTATTTTATAAATCATTACAATCTCCTTTTGTCATCAATCGAAATGTACCGAAATTACGTACATTTGTTTAAATTTCTCTTACTATCCTGATAATGATTGTATTGCGTATTGGCCTTGAGCCGCCATTCGTAAAATCAAATACCATATTTTAAGGCAAAAGTTGTACTTTCTCTGGTATTCTCATTGTTATCAAAATAGTACTATAATAATAGCATCAGTTCATTAGTGCGCTAAATTTTTAGTAGTCTTATAACATCCCGAATGATAGTTTGCCAATAAGTGACTCCATCCATAATGATAACAATAATCGTGCGTAATATCGCATTGCTCGTCAAATTCTCCAAGTCAAAATCAAAATATGATGACTTGGAATTATCGTAATATTATTTCCAATGACCTCATATATATGCAGAGTACGTGTATAGGACTACATAGAGCTCTGTATCACCTGGTTTATTTATAGTGACGCACACTGCTGCAACAATCACCATGGTTCAGTACTCGATCATGTAAGTTAATACACAATCGACATTACAAAAAAAAAACATATAAATAGAATTATGTAAATTGTCATTATTCCTTCAGTAGTATTCATTCTTATAGATGTCCACGAGGCGCACACACTGTGTAGTTTTGTAGCACGCACGCACGCACGTACGTACGACGGATATTGCGGAGAACCCGTCAGCACGCTCGTAGCTGTCACAAAGGATCGCGCGCGAGTTACGACTAAGACGCGGAGGTCTCCTTTGGCGAACGGCCAGCAGTTCAAACAAGAACTGACTAATGACAGTACACCTCGTGAAAAGCGGCTACAAGTTGGCGGAGAGTTTTCCTTCCTTCTCTTCTTTGGGTTTTCAAAGGGTCCAGTCGATCGGGGCGAGGGGAGAGTGACACGCGAAGCGTGTCTACCATCCACTGCCTGAGCGGAGGGCGCTAGGATGACCATTCATTGCAGGCTAATTCCGGTGCACATGTCGATAAGCTGGGGTTTCCCACATTCGTGCGGATGTGCTCAGCGAGGGGATTAGGGGCCATATTTCCAACGTGTGGGTCAGATATGGCTACCGTTGGAACATCTAGGGTCGTTCGTCCGTCCGAAGAAAACTAGGCAGCGTAGAATGCGCGAACAGCTAATTAATTGAAAGGATTGAACATTCCACGTGTAACATATAGAAGTATGTGTTAAATTCTAAATAAATAATTTGCAACAAATTTAGAATAATTGAATCATCGTTCAACTTGATTTTAAATATAACTGATTGAACATTTATTCCGATCAAAAATATCGTTAATTCGCATATGATTATAAGATCACGAATCAATGCTATTGTAATTACTTTAATAACGCACACTTTAATATAGTATATTGCCACTTTAATCTCGTGTTGATAAATGCAGAATCGTCATTAAAGTAGAAAATAAAGTACAAAACACAATGAATGAAGAAGGAATTGCATATAGTAGCATATGAAGCGTATCTTCGTAAATGAAAATAAGAGCTGAGTCACTGTAGTTATCAACAAGTTGATTTATTAACTTAATGTTCAGAAATTGAAACGTCTTTTGTAAGCGACAACATGTTTGCTATGTATAACATTTGTTTTCTTCCTTTGTTTGCACGTTTTGTAATCGAGTAGCTCTAATTTCCAAACTTCCGTATGGCAGCATGATTACTCCAATTGTTGTTAATGCTCAAATGACATATTACTATTTACGAGCTTATAAGCTTTTGTATATTTTATATGGTTACAGGTTTGCATCTTTAATCGTTTTTACATAGTGGTTTTCTAGTTCACGCAACGTTTTACCTTCAGTTTCAGGAAGTAGGAAATAAAATACTATGCAACAAACGAAGCAAGAGATTCCAAAAATGAGAAAAGCTCCCGGTAAAGTTACAGCTGCAACCACATATAAATATGATTTGTTCACAACGGCACTGCAAACTGAGAAGACAAATATGCCGATGCCTGTGCCAACGTTTCGAAATTTTGTTGGAAAGAGTTCAGCATTGTACATAAACACAACTTTATCGATGCCAGCAGACGTCAAAAACGTTGAAAGTATTAGCATGATAGTCGAAGTCCAATTAAAAACGTGAATGTATTTCACGTAAGCGCTTTGTGCTTTTAGAAATAATAGCGTAGCTATTGTAATATATGATAAGCCAGCTCCGATAGAAGAGATGAAAATTAATTTCCTCTTCCCGGTGTAGTGCACCGATAGAATACAAACTATGGCTCCGAGGATGCGCATAGCGTCAAAAAGTGATGCCGCTAAGTGACTGTCGATTGGTGCATCAATACTTTTAAATATGATCATCAAGTACGCTACAATTGCCATGACTCCGGTGCAAGCGTGTAAAATGAACATACAAGCGACTGAAGCTAGAGGAAGGAAAAATAATTTACGGAAAAAAGGCTTGCAAGAATTTCTTGTTGAGCTTCGATCTGGAATTTCATAGGTTTTCCTTAACAAATCGAATTCTAGAAAAATATTTTCTGGTGTAGTCCAACCTCGTACCCACGACAGAGCACTTTCTGCTTGCTTCAATTTCCCTTTGCCTGAGAAAGGTCAAGTTATTCAAAGCCGTATATTTTTAATCTTTTACAAATAATGATTCTAAAAATTATTTTTTCGTGACGGACGGTGGAATATATTTTATATCTTACTTGCAAGCCAGTGCGGACTTTCAGGGATCATGTACATGGACAAGAATCCGAGTGTCGGAGAAATAAGGTTAATTAAAACAATCGTTCTCCAGTGAAGCCAGTTGCTGTAAAGAATCGTTAAAAATACGCCAATGATTATAGATAGGTTTGTAGAAGCCATGAGGGCACTTCTCAAATATGGTTCAGCTGTTTCAACAATGTAGGTAGTTCCAGGTCCTATTATTGCTGGTGCAACTAATCCAGCAATAGCTTGCGCACCTAGAAGCATAACCGAATTTTTCGCAAAATAAAATAAGATCCAAGAAACGATGAACAGAAGCGACGTCACAATTAAACATCGACGAGGTCCTATAGTTTGAGCCAATAGGCCTGATAATATAGAGCCTACTGGCACCATAAAGCATGAGCTACCTACAAAGTATCGAATTAATTTTCTTTTATTATTGTTACATAAGACATTAGACAACTCAGTTATATACACTGACCAAACCATGTTAATTCACTTAGTGAAATTTCAATCTCTGCATTTTTCTTGTATAGTTCTGCTAAAAGTATCGTTGTAATACCATGAAACGATCCATAAGTAAACTTTACGAGATTTGTTGCAAAAGCGGCTAAACATTGTGATGCAGCTGATCTGAATGTATAATCAGAGCTTGGAGAACGATTTTCACTTACGTAATCTCTGCAGTAGAAGAGTTTATCGATTTTCAAAAATCAAATTAAAGTAGATTGAGTAGTCGTACAAGTAGTGTAAAATTATCGTGAAAACTAATCTGTTTTTAAATTTCGGAATATAATAAAGGGAAGCGTTAACGGAAGTAGTCCAAGATGAAACGATGAAAAAAATCTGTGTTTTTACTAAATGATTTTGAGTTAATTCAATTCCTTCGTACGCTTACTCAAAGTCTTATCAAACTATTGTTAAAATTTAATACTAATATTCGTACAGTTTTATTTAAAAATGTTTAGTCTTTTTACGTAGCTATCCCCTTAACTCATTATAACATGATAATGCCAAAGAAAAAGAAGAAATAGAGGAAGAAATTATCTCTCAATATACTGAAAGTTGTATTTTGATTATCATTAGAAACTAACTCTGAAAATTTTTGTTTAAAACAAAAGTGAAAAAACCAAATATCATATAATAACTGTATTTATTGAACTTACTTGATTGCTTCTTGTGGTTTCTTCATGTCGAGTTAAAAATTATATAATACGAAATTACTCATCTTTATTCATTTTCTTTTATTCAATTTCAACGATTTCTATTTAACTATGATCACATTTTTTACGTGAAATATATTTTTTCACTGACATTTTTTATTAGAAAAATATGTCATACAAATTTTAAATAATTAAGGCGCACTTCGATGCCCATCATACATACGTTCATGCATGCATTGTAAACGTGAAATCTTCTGTTGTTCATGAGCGACTTCAGATTATTGATTAGCTCGACCCAGACAGAATAAAAATCTCTTCCGTGTTTCTCATGATCGATATCTTATTTATTATTTAATGTTGATTAGTTCAAGACCGAAAAGCACACGCTAATGAAAATCTTTCGTGTTTGTTATGATTGTTACCTTATTTATAAAAAAATGTCGAGGAGTTGATTAATAATCTGATCTTGCTCAACCAATCCATTGTTATCAACAGAACATAGAGTGAGAACAATAAAAGATTGGTTGTTTAATAAAACAATACAATAACTAAAATAAAATTATGCTTAA